ATCAGATAAATAAAATATAAAAAAAAATCTGATAATCAGGAAAAATCAGAACAGATAATTAAAAAAAAAAATAAAAATAAATAATAATAAAAATAAATAAAAATATATATTAAAAATAAAAATAAAAATAATAATAATAAATATATAACTATATACATATAAATCTAATCTAATAAAATAAATAAAATATACATAATAATAATAATAATAAAATACATAAAATACAAAAGAAGAAAAAAAAAATATACAGGATTGAAATGGGCCTTACCCATTTGGGTCAGGCCCAATTGATCTGGGCCCGGACCCAATTGGGTGTCTACAGCGGTATAGCACAGTCAAAATCAAAACAATTGTATTTCTACCAAATTTTCTAGGCAAAATTGGTAAAACTAAAATCCCTGAAGCAGCTATAACTCAGCATGGCTATCTACTACCTTAAGACCCCAGCTAATGTCTTCACAATGTCTCACATGTGGAACAACTTTACCTGTATCAATTCCTTTCTTAGCTTTGCAGTCATAAAAGGGAGGAGCATGGAAACAAGGCTCCATTGACACGGCACGCTGACAGGGTGGATTAGGGGTTGTCTGGTTTTCAGACTTGTAAAGGATCCATGGCTTTAAACCTCCAAGACCCTGAGCTACATAGCCAAATGTGGACCAGGCACTTGTGACTAGCACATCAGTCAAACTAAGCAGATACATTTCTGCCCATGCCTTCATGTTGTGCAATCGCTTTTCAGTCTGCTGCTGCTCTTCATGACTTGGCTGGTAAACCCCAATTATGTCACCATTCACTGTAGGGTGTTCCCAATACATGTTTCTCACGTTCTCAAAGTACCCAGAAACCAAAGAAGTCATCAAAACAGCTTTCACCTTTGAGTTCTCTGATGGAGTGACATTAATTGATCCTTTAATATCTACTTCAGGCAACAGCTTCTCTCCAAGGGTACAGGCTGAAATTTGATTCTTCACATATTGGTATGGACCGGGTCCTTTATCAAAAATTCTTACTTGGATTCCAACCCTCTCATCTGCCTTGGACAAGTATGCTTTATAGTACCTTGTGATTAATCCCCACACATGATTTGATGGGTGAAAAAGATACCGACCCAAGTGGTGAAATATGGTTTCCTTCTCGGGAAACAGCATGCATAGTGCATGCTCAAACGATGGCATCAAGAAAAGAGAGGGGACAAAGTAGTTGTCTGTTCTCACAATCAACCAAGGCACCTTTTTGAGAAGAGCTTGATCATCATCACAGAAAAAGAGCTTGTCATGGTCATCATAATCATGAGCCAGATGGAGATACAGATACGATGGCTCTGATTCCATTGAAGCTTTTATAAGGTTATTCTTAAGCATGTTCCCATAGGATTCAGGAGACTTGGGACCAAAGCTGTTAAACTTATTAGTGATAGGGAAATCCGGGGGCAAGAACCATGATTTCTCAGGAAATGGCTCGCAGAATAAATCAGCCATGTCCTTCCCTCGGTCAACAAGCAGGACTCTCTCTGTTAAAAGAGCATAAAGAAATACTGAAGCCAGAGTCAAAATCCTGTTCCCCAAGCCACTATAACATACCCAGACAACATATTTACAATCCGTAGAACCAACACTACCACCAGACTTGAGTTGTTCCACTGTTTTATTGTAGGGTTGAGTGTTGGGTCCACAACGTTTATGAAGATCTTCATAATTTCTAAGCTTAGAAACAAGGTATGCAGAAGGCTGGTAAGGTGAAACTTTGCGATACAAAATCGATTCGTACCTACTTAAACAAGAATGTTCATCAAACCCAGAAGCAAGAAGCCCACCAAGTAGTTTGTCTTTAGCCATGTCAGTAGATTGAGAGACATCAACTTCTGAACCAAAGAATTGAAAAGAAACAAGAACTGAGACATACTACTATAAGTGTATAAATTGCTGCAAGATCAATCACTACCAATTGATCAATTGAATTTCTACTTTGACAGGATTGAATCTTGATTTTCTTCGAGGTTATAGAAACTCAATCCTATTAAAATCGGGTTGTGATTTAGCAAGATTTATGCATATCTAATCCGTTATAATTCTACTTTGTAAGAGTAGTATCAAAATTGTGTTGTGTACCTAGTAGTGGGGGCGTAGTAACATTGGTGGAGAAGGGTCTAGCGTCAGCGAATCCCGTCAAACGATCGGGGGGCTGGTGTCTGAGGATCATGGTGAGCATGATGAGAATAGGGAGAGCCATGAGGAAAGTAGCCAGGCTCTTGGTGAACCGCATGGCGTCGAATCCTGAACTCCTGGAAGAGGACCGAGATGACTTTGAAGAAAACAGCGATCGTCGTCTCAACAAATTTAGATCCATTCGAAGCAAAACCAATAAAAAGTAAAAAAAAAAAATCTAAAGTTGAATTTTTGGGTAAAATCTTTTTGGTTGGATTTTGGGCAAAATAAAAGGCGAAGTGAAACAGAACAGAACAAAGTGGTTGAACTTTGAAGTGAAGAAGTTACAAAATGCAAGTTAGGGTGTGTCATGGTCAAACGTGAACGCGGCTTAGATAGTTCTATTTACGGTTCTGCCATTTCACTACCGCAATTCAGGGAGCAGCTGATCGGCGCACCCGCAACCCGATGGAGGAGGTTCATGCTGCTCAGCTGTCACAACGTGCATTTGCATGCTTCATTATTTTTAAGTACGAAAATAAAACACATTAAGAAGCAAGTATAGCATGCTATAGAGCTTTCATTTTTCATCAATATTTTTTGAAAAATATTTTAAGTTTTTTTAATAAAATTGTTCACGGGTGGATTAGATCCAAATAAAATACTAGATACCCAGATCGAATTATAAAAAATGTTGTCATATTTCTTCATGATTTTTGATCGAATTATAAAAGTGTATGTAGTTTTCTCCTGTAGGATATGCGTATAATTTGTAGCCTAGCTTTTGAATATTTTCAAAAGAAATGATTGAAGTTAGATTTGTATAACTTTGACTCAAATCTTCAAAAAAAGTTGGCTATTATTCAATCGATCTCAGTCGTTTTGTATATTCAAGCAATCAGGTTTTATTCCTGTGTTAACTTCCCTGGTGACATTTTTATTAGATGTTTAAAGCTGAGGAAGCAAAGAGGAAAGTGAATCACTAATTTGATTAATCAATCTTCTAATGGCACCCCCAAAAAGTGTAGGACAGGATCTACAAGGAGAAAGAATCAAATGATAATTAGTTACAACAAGTTTTTTACTGCTGCTTCCTGTTTGAGTTTCACACATTTCTTTTACTTTGTTGAACTTGAACAACCTATTCATCTTTGTCTTCATCTTCATCATAGTTGAAAGGTAATGGCACTGACTTGAATGCACGGTACTTTCCCACGTTGTTCAAATGCTCGTTTTCTAACCTGAAAGAAGGTTAGAAAAATGTTGGAGATTTAATCTCAAGATTGAATTGGTCAGATAACACGGACAAAACATCTTAATTACCTGAAGAAATTCCACATGCCACGCCGGATGATCTCAAGGCTGGCGACTATGGTGATCAAGGCTTGTCTATGCAAATCAAACAAATTGAAATTGAACACTGTTTGCAACCACGCAAATCTCAGCAGAACATCGAGGACCTGCATTTTGAATGAATAAAACATTGTTAGACAGATAATAGAATAGAATGCTGAGCAAATGTTCAATTTCATCTAGCTTTATGCTCACCATGGCACCAAAGTATACACTTTTTTGAGGGATAAGGAGTTTGTCTCTCAACCATCTGTTCTTAGAATGCCGATGCAGAAGTCCCCAGTCAAAGACAAGGTCCCAGTAAGTACCAAAAATAGCAGCAGCAACTGAGAAAATGACAGCTAATACTTTCCAACCTATCCCCTTGTTAAGACTGTAAGCAGTTCTTAAACAAAGGGCTACGATTGTGATGAAATATTTCAGCCCATTATATCCTTGCAAGGGGTCTCTCTCTTCAAACAATCGACGTAGGCACTGAAAAATCAAGTTAAAGTTTGTGTTAGGCTTCTAAAAAGGGCTACCTGAATTCAAGATTGGTGAATAAACAGATAAGTACCTGAAGGAGGCGACACCAATATGGAATCACAGCAATAATGAAGCTAAAAGTGTTGAATACATCGTTGGTTTTGCAACTGTTTCGTCTGTGTCTAAAGTCTCCCCAACCATAGTAGCAAACGTAAAACTCAAGGCTTCTAAATGCTTGCACCTGAAACAATCAAAGGGTTGAAACTTTTATATCGGTGACCATTTCAAACAAAGTCATGTCATTGTCAGATAGCAAGTTTCATGTCACAGACCTGACTAGTTAACTGATCTGCCAGGAAGAAATCTGGGAGTGTGACCTGCAGTAAATGTAATTAACAGATTAATTAGATCGATCGTTTAAGTTCACGAGTTTGTTTTTCTATTCTATAAAACCTTCAGCTATCTCTCTTTTACCTTGTAGAGAGGGGCACAGATACAATGGAACAAACATGTGAGGAAGAAGAAACGACTGGATCGATATAAGATGTTGAATGGCAAGAACAGTATAATAAACACAAGCTGCAGAGCAAAGAAGAAACCAAGAAATCAGTTGCTGATGGAATGGGGGTGGCCGGGTGGCAAAACAGTTCATCACATTAGGATCAAATTCAATAATCTTACCACCACCAAGATCAAAGGGATAATTTCAGTGAATGCTTCATAATCCTTTGTTTTGGGATCCATCTCCATATCAAGATTTGAGAGCACACTTGCTAGTGCCGATGCTGCAAGACCAAAACTTACAAGGAGCACTTCTCTGTAGCCTAGTTCCGTTCCTTGCTTGAAACCAAATATGAAGGCATAATTAATTCGATACCGCCTCCATAAGTATACATTGGCAGCATACATAACCATATGTAGAACAATGAATCCAAATAAGCTGCAAAATTTTTGTAAAAGCGTGTCAAACAAATGCATTCTACAGAATTAACTCGAATTGCAGGGACAGGAATCTGAAGGTTTAGGTGAGTGGGGATGGTAGCCAAGAAAAGAAGATGATAAACAAGAAACATTTAAGCCAAACCTTACCTGTAAAGAGGGAACATGGTTTCCATGTACTGGGTCCTTCCTTCCTGACCCATGATATTTCGGGCACGAATAATCAAAATAAGTGCTACTATGAGAGCAAATGTGCATCCGGCAAAGAAACCTGAGAATATTCCCATGAAAAAGACTTGGTAAGAGTTATATCTAACCAAATGAAATTGCTTCATTAATTCTCTCTATAAATGAAGCTTCAAGTCCTACCAGTAGAAAACGTTATTCTATGTCTTTGTTTCCTAGCTTTCGGTCTTAAAACATTCATTCCTTTGCTACGGTTTGAGTTTGCAAAATGCTTGATGAATGTAGCTTCAACTCTCTCCATGAGTTTGGTAGCCTGTAATTGAACATGCAAATTATCAGTAATCCAAGGCATTAAACATAGTTTGCAACTTACTGCTTTTACTTTATAGAAAACTTTATTTTTATGCTTCATTGGATGGTCGGTGGAAGGAATTCTCATGGATCTAGTGCTAAAACTACGTGATGACGCGATAGGAATCCTTTCCTCCCGATCCATCCAAATCAAAACATTAGTAAATAAGAAAAGCTCACCTCTTCGGAGCTACCTAGATAAGAATTATCTACCATTTTCATGTAAGATTTCGCAGCGTTCCTTGAAGTGATCTGCAAGCATAAGGAACAGTGCTGTTAAAGAGAGGATCTAGCTTGCCATGTAAAAGGGGGAAAAGTTGATGAATTAAAAGGGGTATATACCTTGTCATATTTCTTCATGATTTTTGAGAAGGCCAATGTATTTAAGAAGCTGTTCAATCACAAATTAAGAAGTCAAATATAATTAGAATAAAACACTGACAGTGATCAAATAATTCGTATATGCAGCAGTGTTCATACCTAAAACTCTTAAGAAGGCGAAGTTTTTGGTAGAATTCAACAAAAGCTCGCTTAAGTTGGTCTTCAACTTTCTTCAGATTTTCCCTATTAAACTTCAGCTCAGTCTGCTTAGGGACGTTTAGAAAACCTTTAATGGTTGATCGAGGGGTCTCCAAGGTGTTGTTCATTTTAACACGGTTTAGTATTTGTAACGGAGCTGGTCTACGGTCATTAAGGTTTTTGACCTCTGGCCTTTGAACTTGAATAATATTCTCCTTCATATCTTTGCTCTCTTTGTCTTCTTTATCCTCATCTGATTCCTCATGGATGCTTGGCCCCTCTTCTATAACCTCCATGCGATCAACTCTTCCTGCAAATCAAGCAAAAGGCATTCATAAAATTTGGTCTCCCCAAGATTTTATTTTAGTTCAAATTAATAACTAAATATGCTGTGCTTGTGCATGACTTACTGCTTGCTCTAGCACCAGCTGGAGTAGAAGCAGCCAATGCAGCTGTAGAGGCTGCAACATCTGAGGCAAGACGGGTCATGTCACCTGACCTGTCTTGCCATGACCATCCTTGAGGATTCTCCACTTTAATTCTAAAAGCAATTAAAGCATCCATTTGCTTGTTCAAGATCTCAGCCTCCTTCATCACCTCTTCCACCTTCATCTTGTAAAACTTATCCACCTTATTGAACTCATCATCAAGCCTTCTAAAGAAGACCGACTCGTATTCTCCTCCATCGTCTGCTTGCATAAGGAAAGTTGTTTGATAACTTTGGGAACCATCCCGGTTGACAGAATTCACCAAAATGGGTTGATCTTCGATATCTGGTGAAGATGGACTGATGGGCTGGTTACGTCTTTGGGTCAGGCCACTGAAAGCTCTGTACAATGTCAGCTTTCGTCTTAGGCCACGTGGGGTGGTTGGTGGTCTGGTCTTTTGCTTGAAAAGATGGATTTCTTTCAAAATAGTCTTCAGGTAACCATAATCCATGTATGCTTCTTGCCATTCCGGCACCATTTGAGATGCAAATTCCTTCCCAAACTTCATGTTTTCCCGTTTGGGTTTTGGCAAAAGAACATAAACACAACAGTTTAGTGTTACAAGCAAAACCAGACTTTAAGAAACTTCAATATTGGAAAACAACAAGCGATAAAGTTAACAACAATTGAAAGCAACTTGGCGAATGTGGAAAGCTTGCTTTCGACATCCCTTGTATATATCTATTTATAAAAGGAAAACATTGACCCTTTCTCTTCAATTCATTGTTCGGTACTTGTCATTCATTATTGCCGTAAAGAACTTTCAATTTGGAAGAAAAAGCAACACCAAAAGCACTGCGGTGGCCAGGTGCATTTATTATAGCCACGCCATGCGTGGAAAAAAGAATGTGAAAGAAATAGAGAGGAAGGGACAGGAGAGATAAGGAGAGGCGTGGCTTTTTGGCATGCATATATTGAAAGCCATACCTTTTGACATGAAGAAACAGCCAAATCTATGACCACCTGGAATCCAAAACCAACAAATGGTTGACCTCCTACGAAACCCTGGTTTTGATCTTTCTTTTTCTGTCGATCTTTATCATTTTCTGTAATAACATAATCTTATTCTATGTAGCCGGTGAAGAAATTGCCCTTTTGTCTCATTATGTTTTCTCAAATAATTTCCAAAAGCCTGTTTTTTAAAGAATAAAAATCATAGGCCTTCTTTTGAATATTCTTGCAATCTTAGTTCAATGATCTTGACTATTGTCTATTTCCGTAGGGCCGACTGATTCTACCACGTACTTGGTAAGAAAAAAAAATCATAAAAAAAATACAGGGTCATGCAAGTGTATTTTTTATTTGAAAATAATTTTTTCTATGTTGCAATGAATGAACATTGTTAATTCCCTATCCATGACAGTCCAATAATTTATATAAACTGAATAAAATATACCAAAAGAAATAAAAATAAAATTATTAGATTATTTTAATAATTTAATACATAAAATTACTTAAAATTCTAAGGTTTAATTATTAAAAGGTCAATAATTGAAGTTATTCAAATTTGGTTTGATTAGGTAAATATTGTCAAAGTCAAACTACATAACATGGAAATGTTAATAATCTTGCATGATCATTGTCTCATTTATTTTTTGATAATATGAGATTTGAACTTAAAACGAATGGTAAATTGTTATATCTTGAATTAAAAGGATATGCGCAAAAGTTTTGCAATAAAATTTGCTCATCAAATACCAACTAATAAATTGATCTGAATTATTAGTGGCCCCTACACAACAAAATAAAAGGGGCAAGAACATTTTGAACCCGGACTGCCCTTTTTTAGGTCAATAATTCTGATATTTTCCTTAGTATACATTACCACGTAGGGCTGTCTGAACAGGCGGCTCTATCTCTCTCTAACATTCAAGTTGTAAAGAAACGTGTGCGGAAGAAACCATTAGGAGTTTTGGACCAAAACTCAGCCGATGATCTCCATGACTCCAAGGCTTTGGAAATGGCTCAATTAAACAAACAATGTGTATATACATATAATTCACTGCTCTTAATACCATTAAAGGAAATAAAATATATATTTTTATATAATAAAAAAATCATAATTTGAAGCTAAGAAAATATAAATCGAAAAAAATAATCATGAAAATAATTAAACAAGATAAGAGAAAACTTTTAATAAGTGAAGTCTGAAAATTTTTTGATCACATTAAGCATCAATAATATCCGTATGTAGTAATTGATAAATATGATAATTTATATATTTATGTTATATAAAATATTAAAATTTATATATTTATATAATATTTTATATAAAAATTATGTATAACAATTTGTATCAATACAAAATATAAAATATATATTTTTAATTTTGTTAAACTCATATATAATTATTATTAAAATTTTAAATTATATCATTTTAATATTTTATTTTCGTATTGTGTTTATATTGTATTATTATATTATATTTTAAATTTTCATTAAAGCTAATCTTGATTATACATTCCGTTGTGTCATTGTGTAGTTATGCGTGCTGAGATCGACAGTAAAGGTGAGTAAATGGTCAATTCGATCGATTCGGTTTGAAAAAATCAATAACCGATTTAACCGACTTTCATTTAACAAATAATCGAACCGACCAAATATTATTAAATAACTGATCATAACCGAACCGACCAAAATCGGTTTGGTTAAATAACCAATTTTTTTTATCATTTTTTTCCTATTATGAATAATTATTTAACCATAAATTCAATTCAATAAAATTCAAACTCTAATATCATTCAAACTAAATTACTAAAGAATTTAATAATTTCAACAATATTTTACCAAAAAAATATAAATAAAAATATTTATCTCAATTTTTTTATTTTTAATTATTAAAAAATCGATTAATTCGATCAGTACGATTATCAATTTTAAAAACAAAAAATCGACCGAATTAACCAATTTAACCGATTTAAAAAACCAATTATAATTAAAATCGAATAAATCGAACCGATTCAACCGAATTCACTCGATTTTGATCGATCTAATTGATTCAAATCGACTTTTGCTCACCCTTACTCGACAGGTGCGAGGATCATTGCATCGGGGCACTTAAAAGAACGACGGACAACGAAATTGTACAAATATTCGTTAATTCGACTTTCGAATTATGTGATAGTGCTGAATACAATCAACAGATAAAAAGGTCAAAGAAAAACAAATAAATTTATAAGCAAAGGGGAAAAAAAAATTTTTTGGTGCCGAGATGGGAGCTGGAGGACTCTTTTGAGTGCACTGTACATGGTTGTTTAGGGCATTCTGTCCTGAACCTGACTGGATTATCATCCACACCATTTAGAAACAGTTTGTGTGAAACTATTTCAAGCCGAGATTCAGATCCGAACACCCACAGTCATTGTAGCGTATTTGAGTTACCAAGGCCTAGTAAGTCTTCACAATTTGTTCCCTCACAAAGGCATTCTTGAGGGTTTGCATAGAAATAATCTTCCTCCTTTGGTTTGTCAGGAATGATCCGACGATGGAAGGGCTGTCCCATCCGGTTTTTATGCGCTTGTCTTACAGCTAGTGCAAAGTCATTCCATGGAAGTGTCCCATTCTGATGCAAATCCAGCAATTCCACGAGTTTCTTTCGATCGGGCAGGATACTTTTTTTAAACCCAAGATACCTGAATAAAAGCTTGTCAGGACAACGAAAATAATCCCCCACCCCCTCCCTTGTTACATAATTCAGCATTGTACGTACCTGCGATGACCTTCTACAACTTTTGCCATGTTCCCATCATATGTGGGAATGAAAGTATTGCTGGCAATTGATACCATAAAGTCCAAAGCTGCCATCTGAGATGAATGGTTCTGAAATTGCTGCAGTTCCACTGGATCTAGTAGTGTTTCCTTTTTAACCTGAAATTGTAATGTCTTGAGATCTACAAGAATCATGTGCAATACCACAATAAAAACTACAGTTCCAGGTGCCTGTTGTTAGAAGCAAAAAGCAGATCTAACACCATTGGTTAATTAGTAACATGTATGCTGATCAAGTCTTAAAGAGATTCTGTTGGCTCAACTAAGCAAAAGGAAAATGGTTCATGAAATCCAAACTGTCTCTTTAATATGGGTGAGTGCCACATCACTGTTGGAATCAATGAAGACTTCAACAACAATTTGCAACTACGTCCCAAAATTCTATCAAGAGCTTAGAGTTTTCATATGCATTTAAAAGAAGTTGGTAATAAAAGAAATCCGGTGCTTTGACAAGCCTTTGAACAAACATATCAATACCAAAAGCTAAACATTTACAGGGTCGTAAACTCACAATCTGAGGAAATGCAGCTCTTAGTGGTGCCAGTCTCCTTTCACTGCCATAAATCTCACCAGAAGCAATGTAAATCTGAGTCTCCTTATCAAAACCCAATGCTTGCAAAATTAATGCTGCTTCCTCCGGTGTCAGAGGACACAACCCTTGTTGTCTCTTCTCTTCAGACACTATCTCTTTTTCTCTCCACCAAGGGTATGCATACCTGAAAGGAAGGATAGCTATCTAGTTACATTTTTGTTTTACCACATCCTGATAAATGTTGAGATCACAAGATGCCTTATAGATCAAGGTTTGGATTTACTTCTTGTTATCACTAGTTAAAACATTTGATGCAACTCAAAGCACACCACAATCATATTGCCGAAAAACAAACTCAATTTGGTTACTGATAACTGCCAAAAGTGGAAGGCATTTTAGCTTTATTGTCCTTACCAATCTGACATTATACTTTAGGAAATGCCCACATTTAAGTTGTGGCATACAGCTTTGCTATCTTGTTGGCGGTGTGTGTGCATGCAGGGGGTAACTAGTGTGTGTTCCTAGATAGAGGGCACCGCACACCACTCGTACCTAAGATAATTTGAGTGTTTTTAGTGGAATATACAAGCTTCAAATGTAACAAACCTCAATCGTTTTAGCTCCTCAGCTTCTTCCACAGTGCAGCCACGTGTACAACCTGAGAAAGCCAACATGTCCATTTCGTATCTTAGATGCAATGCCAGGAAGGGACCCTTTTCTTGAAGAATGCGAACCAATTTGTACCCTAATGTCTCAATCTCAGGAGTAAATTTTAGTCCTTGGAAATTAACGCGGCACCTGAGTTTCTGAAGATAGAGCGGGATCCCATTATTTGCCAGTCGTGCATCTGTTCTATTGAAGTATACTACCTTATACTTACCGAACAGTGGTAGAATCTGCAAAATAATGTCAAAGGCATTAGATTCTACTGCATAACCAAAAAAAGTAAACAGAAGAGACAAACAAATCCATATCCATCCATTGAGAGAATTACCAATTTGCTGTGGAATCGTAAATGAGAGAGAAACTCATTTTGATGCTAAAAGTAGGAATTAATAATGAGCAACAAACCTGTTCTAAGTAGTATTTTTCATTTGACCAGCTAACAGGAGGCATCCTAAAAGCTTCAAACCCATGTTTCCTACTAAATCTCTTTGGCAGCCTTTTGACAATGCGAACTTCATCCCTTAGAGAATCAATGAAATGTCTCACATCAAAAATGTCCTCAAAATCACTGCAAAAACAGATCATGAATCAAAGACTTTTAAATCAGCTGTGAAAGAAGGGCACAGTAGTGTAACCTTTTCGGAATGATAAACACACCTAGGGTCCGCCCAGAATGATGTTTTATCAAGCTCTGGAACAACCAAAGTGAGATTTAAAAGTCGGGCAACAGCAACCATGTCACAGATCTAACAATGCCCAATTAGCTGGATTAATAACATAATATTTAATAAACAAACAAGGAAAAGATGAACTAGAGAAAAGATTCAGACTGCAGCACGCATTTGATTCAATCCCCCATTGCATGAAACTTTGAGAAAACCATTACTTTTATAATTTCCTGCAAATAGACAAGAATGAAGGACTTACTTTTTCCAAAGATTGAATTGAAAAGGCAAAAAGTATTTCCTTCAATAAAATTCATAGACACACATATAAGGTATAATGTATCAGTTATGAAATTCTTAATTGCCCAAGAAGAAACAAGATATGGAGGTTCTAGCGCATCATGTGACAACAAATATTTGGAAAAGTGAAACCTACAAAGCATACCATAAACCTAAGGAATTCAGGAACATGATCAAGAACCCAAAAACTTAGTACCGCTGGTATTTTGACAGCCTAAAAGGATAACATAGAGGGCATTCCAACAATCAATTCATTAGAGTTTCCATGCGGAACAATTTACATATAACTGAGGATGCCATAAGGAAATGCAAACTGACAAGTACATTGCAATCTAGCACAAGCCATCTTCCAGGAAGCAATACAAATTCAGTTCTTTATTCAGTATTTTTTGTATAACAAAGTGATGCAACTACTTCAATCCCATGGCAATGATTGCACTCCTTGAGTAATAGCAGTCTCAAATCTTAATGAGCCCCAGACACCACATCAACAGAACGATGGCAGAGGTAAATATATCAAATGTCAGCACTCAGCAAATATATTTCCTCATACCATTTTCTTTCTCAAATTCAACAGAAATTCCAAAGCAAATCGAATATTTGAGCAAATTCAAGGCAAAAGAACAAAAAGAGAGATGGGGGTGGGGGTGGGGGACTCACTGGGAGGAACGAGAGGAGGAGGGGAATGAAGCGCGTGCTGAAGACGAAGAGGAGGGCGTGTGATCCTGGAAATCCGGTTCGTTAAACCGGTAAGCAAACGAGGGTGCCATAGCTGACCAACGGCAACGAGCTGGACCAAACAAGTCCAAACAAAAATGGTGGAACAAACTCTAAAGAACCAAACCTGAAGGCGAGTCCTAGGAATCAATTGGCTAGGAATCTTGTCGCACCTCACTTGTACATTGTTGTTCTCAGATCTAATCTCCATTTCTCTTCCCCTCTCCTCATTGCCGCCTCTTCATTTGAAAAACAATCAATTCTTCACACTTTACAATCAAGAATATCCGATTTCCCCTTATAAAAAAAACCCTAGAAAGAGATCACGAGCTTAAACAGAGGAAGAAAAAATCAAATGAATTGAATGAATGAATCTCACCAACCAAACAGATCGTAACTGGAATCTATTTACTCTATTTTCTTTGTTCTTTAGTTTTCATTATTTCTTATTTCCATGGAAAGCGAATGTCTTTTTTTTTTTTTTTTTTTTTTTCTTGTTTTTGGATTTCAAAAAGGAATAGTATCTGTTTGGTTATTGAGAAAATCAAAGCACCTGAAGGAAATAAAGCAGAAACAAAAAATTATATATAAGGGAAGATTGGACGGCTCCGACCGTTGCCATTATACACGCTTGGTGACTTTTCCATTGCCTCTTTACAAACATTTTACGTTCTAAAAATGTTGAAATTAAGAAACAAACAAAATGGAATTTGGGTTTAATAGCTGTTAATTGAATCCTTTGTGAAATTGCCGCCATTGATGAATTCGAGGTCTGAGTTTTTAAGGAGTAATTGATGTACAATTTAGAATATATATATATCAGATATTGACAACTACATTCCTTAATTCACCATGATTAATATCAAAATTTTAATTTTTAATACATTTTCAATAGAAAAACAAGTACCAAATTAAATTAAGTTGCCCAAAAATAGCTGCATTTATGGCATACTTGATGTATAATTATATGCATATAATGGCAAGATTTGAACCCCCAACAGATGATCGGAGGACAAGCTGTCATTCTGAAATCAATTTTGTAATATTGCCAAGATAAGATAGGAATTGGGATCAGATACGAACGAAATGAAAACCAAATCTGTTTTTCATTTTGTAAAAAGAAACCTTTAGCAATTACCTTTTGCATTGAATATTTAGATTGACAATCGATTTACTAAATATATTTGATAATTTAAAATATGATATGATGATATAATATAAATATAATATATAAATAAAATATAAAAATAATATAATTTAAAATTTTAATAATAATTATATATAAATTTAATAAAATAAAAAATATTTCATATTTTTTTATTTATACAAATTATAATATAATTTTTATATAAAACATAAAATAAATATAAAAATTTTAATATTTTACATGATATAAATATATAAATTATCAAATTTAGATTAATTTCATTCCTTTTTACTGCAAAATCAGCTTCCCTTCAACTGAAAGCTTGCTTTTTTATTTTTTTAATAATATATAAAAGAAGATCTTCTAATTTGGGTAGGGGTGCTGTTCTACAACTTAATCTATAATTTCTTCTTAAAAATCTCGTCTTAAATTCGTAGCCAATTACATAAATTTCTATACTTTTTAATAATTTATTCATTTTAATCAATTAAATATTTATATTCTTCATCAATTTTTATTTTTAACAAATTTAAAGGAAACAAGAAACAAAATGATAATTGATAACAAATTATTAATTAAAACAAGAAGCAGTATATAAAAAAATTGGCTGACTTATGAATTTTTTTTCATAAATTATTTTAACAAAATGAATGAATAATAATAAAGCAAAATTATTTAATAAAAAAAACACTTAATGTCGGATCCAATGTTTTTCATATAATATATACGTTCACGTGCCTAAAAGCCAAGACAGATCTGGGATTTTTAGGACAGGACCGGTTACGTGTCTGATCCAATTATATATCACCACGTGACAAACTAAACTTTGACCTTTAATTTTTTTATTTTATTTTTCCTAATCTTTTTCTTCTTCTACATTCTCGCGGTGACTCCCCAAAGCCGAACTGATTTCCTTTTACAGCAAAAAAAAAAAAAAACAGAGAATCTCTCTGTTTTTGTGTATCTAGCAGTTGAATTGACGTTGAGTCGTTGACTATGATTCTTCGATGGGTCTTAATCTTGGTTCTGGTGGTGGGGATTTTATCCCCTCCATCGCAATCGTTACGGTTCGAGCTTCAATCGGGACAGACTAAATGCATCGCCGAAGACATCAAAAGCAGTTCAATGTCGGTCGGAAAGTACCACGTTGTCAATCCCAACGAGGAATATCCTTTGCCTGATTCTCACAAGCTCACCGTCAGGGTACTCTAGGAAAAAAAACCCAATCTCTATTTTATTTTATTTTTTGTGGTTTTGGTTATTATTATTATTATTTATAATGAATTTTGAGAGTAAATGAAGGTAACGTCGTCGCATGGGAATAATTTTCACTCGGCGGAGAAAGTGGAGACCGGGCAGTTTGCATTTACGGCGGCGGAAGAGGGGGATTACATGGCGTGCTTTTGGGCGCCGGATCATTCGCCGCAGATTACGATGAACGTTGATTTTGATTGGAGGACTGGAGTTCATGCTAAGGACTGGTCTAATGTTGCCAAGAAAGGCAAAGTTGATGTAAGTCTTCTGGCCCTTCACAAAAAAAATATTATTTCTTTAATTTTTTTTTTGTTTTATTTGAGCTTATTATTCTAGGGGGGCAATTCTGGTTGGTCACCTAACTTATAAGATCAAGATGGTTGGCGTATCTGATCAAAGAAACGATGAAAAAAGAACTATTGGAATTTGGGAGCTTGGTTAGGGGTTTAACTCTTTGAAGGGATTGGCTTATATCTGTCTGCTGGGGCAGAAGGGCCATAGCTCTATCTAATTGTAGAATGGACAATATGTTGAAATGTTAGGCTGCAATTCGGTTAAGATTTTCCATGCTGTGGAGGTTTGGGACCAGTTGGAATTCATTGGATTTTTTCATGTTATCGGCTAGAGTTAGACAGAAGGTTTGCTATTATTGTAAAAGGGGTGTCTTTCTCTTGTTCTACAAGTCCACAAGGCTTGTTCTTCCTTGTTATACAGATGATTTGGTTGAAGTTTTTCTTGGCTTCCCATACGTCTGATTTAGATGGGAATAGCTTTTTCCTGCTGAGGAAAAAGGGTAAATAATGTATCAAAGGAAAATTGCTATTCGTTTCCTGGAAATGTCAGGTTGCCCTGAAAGCAAGTTTGGAGAAACCTCTAGGCATATCATATCCTTGTCTAGATGAAATTTTGCCTTCTATTAAGAGAGAGGGGGGATGAACAGTCCTGGTAGACTTGTTGATCAAAGATTTCTTCTAATAAACATCAATCAGTCTTAGTTGATGGAAACTACTTGAAAAATATGTAAACCAGTGGTTCCTAGTGCTAAGCTAAGCTAAAGGGTTTCAATGCTTTGTTGAAATTACTGGTTTTTCTTTAGACTTAAGCTCTGTTATCTTCTTTTTTCAGCGTACTGTCTATCTTCACTTGGCATTTAATGCTGATTATGAAGTTCACTTGGCTGATCTCTTTGCACTTTGGCCCTTTCTATGTATAAGAAGTGACTTTGCCTTCATTTTAACCTATTCAGCTATGCATCAGCTTTCTTTTTATATGAATGCATGCACTCTTTACATGTTCATCTTTGGATATCTTTTACCTGAAGTAAAACAGGTGAAAAAGAAAAGTCTCATGTTTCCTTTTTTGTACTTCTATGTAAATTCCAGGAGATGGAACTAGAATTGAAGAAGCTGTATGATACTGTTACCTCCATTCACGAGGAAATGTTTTATTTGCGAGAAAGGTAAGGAAGCATCTTTGTCACTGAAACTCATGAATGTATACCCAACCTATTTTTTTCCTCAATGAATCGTATTCCTTCATTCATGAGTTCTGTGTATGATTTTTTCCAGAGAAGAAGAAATGCAGGAGCTGAACCAAGCTACTACCTCCAAAATGTTCTGGTTCTCCTTCCTCTCACTTTTTCTTTGCTTGTCAGTAGCAGGATTACAATTTTGGCACTTGAAAACCTTCTTCGAGAAAAAGAAGCTCATTTAAGTTTGTAAGATAAAAATTTTATTTTCTTCTGCACTCGTAAAACATTTTGGCGAAAATGTACTTTGACAAAAATAATACCTAGGTCTCATAGTTAGATTAATTGAAATTTCAATGATCTAAAATGGGTTCTACTATATATGTGATGTACTTCATAACTTTGTAGCTACCTTTAACGTCTGTTTTTCTTTAATAGTGAATAAGTTTGGGAACAGAGAGACAGAGAGATGGGGGAATACAAAACCGATAACCTTGCTAGTTGCTACTATGCTCATTCAACCGGGGAGATGGTCGTTGATTACCTTGATTGCTGTCGTTTGTTCACTTCCTTTTTTTCTTGAGCCTGCCTGATCTCTCCCTTTGGTCTTAACTCTAAATTCAGCTCTCAACCTTCTCTGGCTGTGGTTTTATTTTTGTCTCATCTCTTTCACATTTCCCTAAATGTCCCCTATTTCTTGCCTCTCTTTCTCAATCTACTACGTTTATGTTGTATTTGATTTAGTAGATTTACCTTTCCTAGATTCAATCTGAATATCTGATCATCAGTTGGGAAAAAAAAGAGGCAAGAAAAAAACAATTCATATGGCATCACATATTCTGATGTGATTTTCTGTTGAAGCTCCTTGATGAAGGCGTCTGTCTCTTTTGACTACAGATTTGTTGCCCATCTGTCATGGCTGCTTGCTATCTTTGATCCACAGTATCTTGACTGCAAGTCTTTTTTTTTTTTTTTTTTTGGGTGGGATTACACATCCCTTGTAAATGTCATATGGCTTTTTCATTAATAAATTTTTTAAAATTTAAGAAAAACCCAAATCTGAAACCTAAATACAACAAGCCATGATTCAAAAGTCATCCCATTCAAAGTCCACAAATTCAACATACACAAGCATTCAGCCTAAAGACCCGACAACTTTGTCCAGCCATTTCAAAAAGAACAACAAACAGATTGGCTTTGCCTAATATTGTTCCTCATAATCAGTAGTGACCATAAGGGATTGCAATTGAAAGATGAAAAATAAAACTCTGCAAGATGAGGAAACATTTTATATGTCAATTTGGTTGACCTCCTCGGTTCTCTTGCTTGTATTCAAAATAATAAAGAGTTGAAATGCAGACACGCCTACTTTCATGATTGATTTTGGAAAGAATTGAGGAAATCCAAGTCATGACAAAATCTATCACAAGCTACTCAGTGAGTCTATTCACAATACCATCTGCGCAAATGGATGAGCTGGAGGTGACCAGTGGAAACTGGATTTATAATCATCGATTTCATCAAATCTTGAATATCATGTATTGAATATATTCCAATGATGATCTGCGGGTACATTTTCCTTGATCTTTTCAAGCCTCTTGAGAATATCCAAGAATGAAGGTCTTTGGTTCATGTCAGCAGCCCAACACTTGACTGTTAAGCTAAGAAAGATTGCAAAGAAGAAAACCATCAGCAACCCCAGTTCTCCAGTCCAGCACTTCAATGGTTTGTTTCAACATAAGATAAATTTAGCTTAGAAAATTTATTAGCATTAATTACTAAATATCTTTGAAAAGAGAATTTGCATTTAAAAGACTGGAAAAGGCAAAAAGGCTTGGAGAATGCAGAATGTAATATTTATACGAGGTAGCATTAAGTTGTGATTGGTGTCAAGATGCTAATTAGTTATAAACAATTCCCAACAATATGCAAATCTTCATGCAGACATAATAGTTTATGTAACCGACTTATCATTTTAAAAATCTTTAAGTTATGGTTGGACCATGTACATGATGTAGCAAAAACCATGAACTTTCCAGTAAAGTGGAAAATTTTAGAGATGGCTTACTCTCTCAGTTCAGGAAGGTATGATTTTGAACGGAAATTAGGCCGTTGTCCTTCTGCGACATACTTAGCTGCTTCATAAGGCTCAAAATTTGAGAATGGTGGTTCTCCTTCAAGCATCTGCTCCAAGTAAGAATATCATGCATTAGATCTAGTCTCAAATACTTCACAATCAATATCATTCCGAGAGAAGAAGATTACCTCATAAAGTATCATTGCAAAAGAGAAAACATCAACCTTTTTATCATATTTCCTGTGCTTGAAAACTTCAGGAGCCATATAACGATCTATTCCAATTCCAAGTAAAGAAAGTAAGGATCTGAGGATCGTATTTTATCCAAAGGAAATCTATAGGAGACTTACAACTCCCTGTCTCGCCAGTCATTTTGTAGACATCATGAGAATTTTGAACCTTGATGAGCTTGCTCAGTCCAAAGTCTCCAACTTTCAAATGGTCTGCGCTGGAGTTAACCAAAAGCACATTCCTGATAAAAAATAAAAAATAAAAACAAATTTTAACATGAAAAAAGTTAAATGAAATTTGAAGTTTTCAATCATGGAAGCAAAAAGGAAAAGAAATCAACTAGAGAATTGGGGAAAAGAAAGCCAAAGTTCATTAAACATTCAAAATTCAAAAAGTAATTTCCACAACATATGCACATAGTCAATGAAATGTATAGAGCCTTGAAGCAATAGCAAGTAGAACAAAAACAGGATTGTTTACGAAGCAAAACTGAAATAGAAACTGACTCACCTTGGTTTTAGGTCTCGATGAATTATTACATTTGGCTCATTGTGAAGATAAGCCATACCCCTGACCAAAAATTTTATAAAATCCAGATTAGCAAAATAGCCATGCATATTAGAGAAAATTAAATGCAGTCAAATAGCCAATACATATTCTGTAGATTAGCTCCCTGTCAAAAGGAAGGGAAGTTGTTCAAAACCAAAGAAAATTATTTTATCCTTGTTAAGAAAAGCAACATCATTTATGGTACGCTTCTAATATTTTTCACTCTTTTTCTTCAAGTTTTAACTTAGATGCCAAAAGCATGACACATAGAGCTGCACAACTTAAAATAGAAGCTTTCATATATACCTAGCAATGTCCAATGCAAAGTTGATGGCTGTTGATGGATGAAGTGCACCCTTTTCCTTGAGATACTGATGAAGATCACCCTGTAATAGCATATATATGATAAGATTAAGAAAGGGTAATTAAAGTAAAATCTAAGATTTCTAATAGAAAATTATACAGAAAGAACTAAACTATTGGGAATGAGAAATGTATATGTATTCACATACCCCTCTTAAATACTCAGTAATTAACATAAGAGGCTTCTTCTCAGTGACAGCTCCGAGGAATTGAACTATGTTAGGATGGCGGAGCTTTACAAGCAAATTCACCTCATGCCGAAAATCCTGACTAAACCAGCACAACGGAACACACACAAAGAATTGCATTCTTAATACAGTAAAAAACTGGATAGGGAGGAAATTAATCATAGTTACTACAAGCATCAGAATATCGCTGTGAAATGTGGAAGCAGCTTTTAAAAGTTGAAGCTAATTACACCAAGGAGAGGTATAAGTCATTAAAGAAAATGTTTCATGCCTTTTTGGGTGAGTTCATGTCTTTTTGGGTGAATTCATGTCAGTTTTATCTTTTCCTTTGGTTGATATTCATTGTCAATGAGAACATAATTTTCAGCATATGACAACATCAAAGAAAGCAAACATTCATGAGAAAGAGCTTTGGAAGCGAGCTATAGAGATATATTCAAAACATTGTGGGCTTACATCACTAATCTGTCATCTGAAAGTGATGGAAGAATGCGTTTGATAGCTACAGGCGTTCCTCGCCAACTGGCCTTTAAAATCTCACCAAACGACCCCTGGTGATATGAGATAAAATCAGTCAAAGCAAATGTTCCAGATAGTATAAGGAAAATAGACCAGGTACTTGCGTGCCAAATTGCTGACAACCAGAATTTAAGCAGCTTATATATGAATTCAAATACCAAACCAACAGATGGAACTTACACATCAAAGAGACACACCAACAATCTAAAACCACTCATAGAAGTTTGATTTATATTAGCCCAAAGAAACCTATCCTGAAATATCAACTTAATAATAATCAATCATTCTAATAAGCAGAATAGGACGTATACATTCAGCCATCTCTGAGTATGCAGAGATGAGATCATACTTCTAAAGATCATGTCATGATTAGGGCCAGTGTTGATGTAATTGTCCATGATGATTGTTAAATTCAGACATATTAAATCTCCATTTTATCAAATGGTGACCATCTTCCAAAGAGGTGATTACCATTGTGCTAGTCATAAGAGAATCTTTATTGTATTCTTTCTTGGCAAGCACCACACATATACATCCATGATAAGCACTTTCAGATTTGACTAACAATCACATGCACTTCTGACACCAAAACAATAGAAGACATTAAATCCTAATTATGAAAAATGAATTAAGGCTTTGCTTGGTTGGGAGGACTGAAAGGAGGAAGAAAAAATGTTTTAATCCAATGGTTAAGCTACAAAGTTGGAAGGTGGTTATGAAACCTAACCATTAGATTCAAAATTTTCTAGGCTTCCTTTCCATCCTTATTACCCAGCAAAGCCTAAAATCAAGACAGATACATCATGCAAAAATTCAAACAAGCGATTTTCCCAATATAGTTTTGCACTTAAAACAGTTTGCATGCATGACAAGCATGCTCTGCTCTGCAAGTTAGCAATATTAAGAAATTGAAATCACACCTTCCCTATGATATTTGAATTTGAGAAGTCCAGCTCAGAAGGGTCAATTTCCCAGTCACACTTATTTGGTAGAGGGGGTGGAACCGGCTTTGGTTCAAAATGGCTTCCAGTTTGGCCCTGCAACAATGAAAACTTTAACTTTTAGCCCATAAAAGCACTTAAAATGCAAAACTAACAAGGTCTAAAAGGGTTTCCATCAATTAAACTTGTTTAACTAGCTCCAATATCAATCAGATCAGAAGAGATAAGGAACAAGCATTAAGAGCCAAAATCAGTGTACATTTCACTTTTTAAGGAAATTGTTCATGAATTACTGTAAACAAAAATAAACGTTGTCACATCAATGAGTATGGATAGGGAACAGACATACAACATTCTCTCCAAGAAGCCATCTCTAATATGATATGCCTTCAACATCATTAGCAAACTTCAAATGAATGATATTAAGGATGTCCTTCAAGGAATTTGAATAAAATAATTCTTAAAGATGGATCAAAAAAGGACCATGAATGGAAAGTAAAAGGCCATCCACAATTTCAAGTCACACCTAACATCTAAGTTCTCAGTCAGATAACCAAGTATAAAAAGTATAAAATGTTGACTAAAAAGAAACATATACTTCATACTGTTAGAGTACTCCATAATTAATCTGGCCAAATATGATCACAAAAAGGTTATAATCAAAATGCCATTTCCTGCAACTAATCATCCATCATACCGTTAAGGCTGGCTATTAAGGATCATTACAATGAAGAAATGCAATTAAAAAAACAAGCATTTTAAGAAGTGCTCCAATTTTAGACTAAATATTGAAAGAAAATAGTTAACAAAATACTCAATAATGAAAAATTGCAAAGTAAAAAGCTGAACTTACGAAAGATAATCCACCATATGATTTTAATAGCTCAATCATAGTATGTTTCTTTGCTCCTTCTGCATCAGCTAAAGGCTGAAATCACCAAACAAAAGGAAATCAACAAACTTTAGGTTAAATCCAAAAGAAAAACTATGGAAACAGTAAAAGCCTAAAAATTAGAGGAATGAAGAGAAAACAAGGGCTGGATCCGTACCGTATTCTTCCAGCGATCTTGGGCGTTGACATCGGCGCCAAAATCGAGGAGGCACTTGGCGACGTCGATCCAGCCGTGGAGTGAAGCAACGTGGAGAGGCGTACGGTTGTCGTAATCCCTAGCGTGAACCAAAGACCGATCTTCCTCAAGAAGCTTGCGGACAGCCCCGGCATCATTCTGATGAGCATGCCACAAGATCAGCGAAGTCCTGCTCACTCTCGCCTTCTCCTTTTGCTTGTCCGTGGACGTTGTCGAACTCGCCTTCCCACTCGGTTCCTTTCCCGGCGATTCTCCGCCCGATGTCCCCGAGCTCATAGTCAAAGACCTCTTCTTTCTTCTCGCAACTAATCGGATAGATCGCAAACGTTTGTTTATCCGTTATTCTGTTTTACCTTTTCAACAGAATGAGATTCTTTCTCTCTCTATTTACTCTTCTTTCTTCTGTAAAAATTGTATTTTCACTCCTTTTATTTTTAATTAAATAATAAAAAAAAGAAAATATTTCTTCTGATGTGGGCCAGGGGGAGTGACCGCGTGAGGAAGCGTCGGCTTTTCTTATTTATGCTTTTTCTCGATCTGTTCTGACTTAAATTTCTAGAAAAAAAAAAAAAAAAAAAACGTATTTCCACATTTTCAATGCTTGAATTTAGATTTAATAATTTAGATATAATAAGATGATAAAAAATTTAAAATTAATTAAAATTATATATAAATATAAGAAAGTAAGAATATGCTTTATATTTAATATATTAATATAAATTATAATATAATAATTTTATATTTTATATATATTTAATATAAAATAAATACTAATAAATACTATAAGAATATAAAAAAGATCAAATTTGCTTGAATTAAAAGTGATAAAAAAATCATAAAAATTAAAAATATATTTAAAATCGTAATATTTGATTTTATTTTAAAAAAATTTTTATTTAATTTGAATTAAATTAAGATATTAAATATCCATTAGATTCAAATTAAGAGGTAAAAAATTTGAATAGAATAGAATTATATTATTTTTATTTTTTATACATTTTTTAAATTTTATAAAATAAAAATAATGATTTTATATTAAAATTTATTTAAATATATTAAAATAATATATAAAAAAAAATTAAAACCAATAAAACAAACCAAACAAAAAAAACTTTAATTCAATTTAATTTGACTTCAAATTAAATTTTAAAATTTCTTAATATTACACAATATTAAAAAAAAAATCATATCAAATCTGCTACCACCCTATCTTGAATTATGACATAAATGGAAATTTCACTTAAGTCAAAAAGTGCGGGGAATATGACTTTTGGCTTTAGCAGTGATTAGTTAGTTAGTTACCCACTCAAGAGAGGAAAGTATAAGTGTATTTTCTATATGAACAGGGTCAAAAAAAGCCTATTTTCATACTATAAATAGAATCCCCCTTTAAATGCAGAACCACACAATTTCAACATTTTTGTTCTATGGAATCTCTAGTTCCATTATCATCTATGGAAAAAGGAAACAAAAAATTATGTCAATCAATTTATACTATAATATTTAATAGTTTGTGACAAATGAATTCATATATGGGTTTTGATGTTTGGCTTGATAACATAGTTTCTCATACATTTACTCTTGACTGGATTCATATCAAATCCTCTTGGTCTTCAAGGGATCGCTTACGGGCTCTTAGGTTGAGCTCCAGACTTTGAGGTAAAGGAGGTGTTCTCCCCCTCCGGAAGAGAACAGCCAGAGCCCTCATCTTACGGCAAAGATCAAATACCTGCAGAAATAGTATGGAGATTTTACTGTAGAGAAGAATATGTAATGATAAAGACAGAAAGACGGTTCACTTACCGATGAGGCTTCAATCTCTGCGACACCTTCACATCCTTTGCCTCCTCCCTGCATTAAGTCACAATATTTTGCAGCTTCATTTCCATCTTCGAATACCTGTGTGACAAGAGTTGGAGGTCTTAAACTTAACAACCAGAGATGAGTCTAAACAAAAAAAAACTTGATGATAAACCAACAAAAAGAAAGCGAATACTATAAGATTAATATGCCGGCTTGAACTATTTACATTGGGAAAACTGCATGCACCATGAAACTGCGAGAAGTTAGCAGTTGATTGGTAGCCGGGGAAATGAAGGCATACCATATAGCATACAGCAACAGTAATAAATTTTAACCATGAAGGATGGTATTAGAAAATAATAGTTATGCAAATATTGTCTCGAATAAAAGAATCTTAGAGGCCCTTGATTGATTGAGACCAGAATTTGATTCATATTTTTAGTCCCCTAATTTCCTTTGACAATTGACATTACACATCTATAATGTAACCAAACTTTAACAGGAAAAATAACTGAATTATTAAACACTTACAAGCACTCCTTCCCTAACATCCTCAACCAGCATCTGAAACTTAGTTCCTGAACTAGGCTGTTTAGTTTTGTTTCCAATTCCAGAACTCCACTTTGCTCTTTTTGAAAACAATAATCCAAGCTCCCTTTCAACTTCACTGTTAGAAGAAAAGAATGTGAAGCAGGGCAACTATAACAATAATTCAAGAATAGACCATACGGGGTTCTAAACTAAATGATACCTGCGGTTTCTTCGAGTTTTCATTGTGCATAACTGATTTTCCTTGCGAGTTAGTACATATACAGGTTTCGAAGGATCTCTCCATGGATTTGCCTCCAACACTGAACAGGATCAATCGCGGGAAAAGTGGTGAAACTTTGTGAAATCAAACAAAATAAAAGTAGTGAACCATATTATGAATGAAGCATCAAGCCGTGAAGAAACATAACAGGTTGTCAAATAACTTACAACTATTACCCAAACTAAAAATATGCAACAATAAATTCCAGAACTGCACTCCTAGTGCATACAGAAACTCATACTCTATATCAGATAAAACTACTAGCATTATTGGTTAATTCTATGGAAGAAGTTGAAGTAGCAGCATAGCAGCTAAGTGACTTATTATCTAGTAAAGAACATATACGAGCACATATTGTAGCTGGGTACAAGTTCAACAAATTTCTAATCAATATTTGAAGGGAAAACAACAGGACATGGGTCTCTCACATCTACTAAAGAATTCTTATTATCAACAAGTTGAATGCACAAAAGCCACAACCTACAAATAGGGGGAGTAAAAAGGGATCATTTCAAAGACAGACCATTTAATAGAAATCAGAGGATCGACAGAGCCACACTTCTCATTAGCGACCAAATAATTATCCAAGCAAACATTCCAGGCAATGAACTTGCAATTCAACAGAATAAAAGGCTCTGCCTAAAGGCTTAAGTTTCCACTTTTAGCAACTTCAAGATAGAATTCATATTGCAAGCAATTAAGTAAGACAGACATGCATGGAATTACCGGAATAAGCAAGCAAATGAAAGTAGAAAAATGCATTAAGAAACCCAAAATATGCAGTATAAACAGAAATAAATAAAGAACAGTTTTTACCGTCATAGCTACTACTATCAAAAGTTTGCTGCAAATGCCTCCGCATATCATACGCCCGAGACGAAACCTGTTTCAAAAACTCGCCGGAAGTAGTTGGAATCGTACCGTCCAAATGAAGCGCCCTATCAAGCTCCTCTTTCTCACCATCAACATCATCATCATCATCATCACGATCTTCTTCTCTCGCATCCCTCCCGTTCAATTTGCATTTACAATCAACAACTCGACTCGGTCTCCCTTTAGAAGAAGGCACGCTAAGTAAAGACGACAAGCGAGGAATATAGTTATTCGTGGCGAATGAAAAGACAGCTACTTGAGGACGATGTCGCTGCGTGGACAAATGGTTGCTCCGAGGAAGAACTATAGATGGCGAGACAGACGACAGTGAATCCATGGTTTTTTTACTGTGGGTTTTCTTTAGTGAGCTTCCAAAGCTTTGGGATTCTTCAGGTTAATATATTAGTCGAACCAAAAACGTGAAACAAAGGAATACCTTTGCCGTGGAGAACTGTGTAAACTCTGGAGAAAGAAGTAGGGAATTCGGCTTTGTGAATCTCTTTCTCCATATCTGACGAGTCTGGCAGATTTTTTTTTCTTCCGAGGCGAGTCCAGCCCAAGGTGTTGGGTCGGGTCAAATATACTGGGGAGGTGGGCTTAATCCTATTATTAAATGGGCCTGACCAATTGTAAATGTATCCAACTAAGCCCAACTTTTCAACAAGCCAAGGGTAAACAGTTCGAAATTATTAATCCTAATCCAAAATTATCTTACGTGTATAATCGAATCAAATTAATACAGTAAGATGTTCAAATCTGACTCAAAATTTATTGTTTAAAACTTTACTCAAGCTTGATCGAATTTAAATTTGAATTTTTAAATTCATACTCAATTCGAAATAAAACTTAAATTACTTAAATTTGTTTTATTAAACTTGTTTAAAAAATAAACTCAATTTTCATTTTCAATTTCAAACTCAATTATATATTCAAATTCATGCTGGAACTTGAATTGATATATATAAAGATAAAAATAATTATTTTTTAATTAAAATAATAAAAAAATAAAATTTAATTAGTTATTCAAGTTAATATTAAAATGCTCTAATTCGATTCAATAAATCAAATTATTCAAACTCAAGCTTAATAATGACCGAATTGAATACAAATTTTATCCCCGATTAGCTTGCAAACATTATATCATTTACACCCCTAATCTTAATCCTACCCGTTTGCCACCTCTGCAATTCATAGCTCGTGTTCAATGTTGATACACGATAGTTTAATGGTTTCACCATTAGATGGCTCGTCTTGAATACAAGAGCATATGTGACCAAGCATAAACCAATACAAATGTACGATATCAGTTCAACATACATAAAGACGAAGCATCATATGGCTGATGAAGCCTGCCATCATATGGCTAACAAGTATATATACAAAATTGCAGAAAAAGCAAACAAGAACATCAGTAAGTTGCCCAATGGTTCAAAGATTCATTAGTGACGTGAAATCTTGTAATAAAGGATTAAGACAATTGCAAGGACGAGAGCTATAATTATTGAGACAACGATCCATTTGTTCTTGGTAATCCTCCGCGACATGGTAGTTAAAACTTTCTTACTCTTGTCAATGGCATTATCAACATCATAAAGCTGTAAAAGAACAACAAAGAAATAAAATCAATAATAAAAATCCTATCATTTATAGAAGTACTTCATGTGTGTGCATTTTAGCCTTGGCTCCTCCGTTAAAGATGCTGGCTAAACATGTCCCCGACAGAGACAAAACCGACTGGAGAGTAATCAAAGATTCAATTGATAAAGAACAATGTGCTATAGAAGTTAACTTGAATCAGTACACAAGTATTTTGGTCAGAAATTACACCTTGTTATGGGCATGTAGAAGAGTCTGGCGCTGTTGATGCAAATCTTCAAGGATAGAGACACCAAGCTCTTCTGTCTCCAGAATAGTTCTTCTACTCTCCTTAATTCTGTCACTTGACTGATTTAATCTCTCCACTGACATTGACAATCTTTCTCTTTGCTCAGCAGAAACCTATACCATCAGTCACCACTAGAAAAAAACTTCACAACTAGCTCAACAGTTAAAAACAAGCATTTGCATTTCATACAGAATCAGTGGTAAATCAAACATATTTAGCAGTCATCACAGGGTGATAATGGTAATACAACAAACAGCAAACAACAAAATGTAGAAATTAGCACTGATAAAGTGATCATGAACAATTCTCATAATGCCAAACTATCAATAAATGAGTCTATCAAATTCCACCTTCCCAACTTACTAAAACAGCAGCCCCAGTGCATGAGGCACTCCCATTACAAAATCTACGGAGGGCCAGATACATGCAGCCTTCCCCCTTCTCAGCAGAAGAAAAACTGCTTTTGAGAGACTGTGACTAACATGACCTCATGGTCACAATGAATCAGCATTACAATTGCACCAAGGCTCACCCTCTCCCCCCCAACTAAAAGATAACATAGAATCGTGATGCAATAGGGATATTAGTAAAGAAATATTTGCTTCTGAAAACAAGCAACATATAACATGTCTTCCAGCAACATAAAATTGGTGGACACAAGCTATAATAGATGCAGAGAGTTAAATAAAGTGATCAATCCTCAAACATCCTAAATTAATCAAACACAGTTTTCCTATAGCATGGACAAAAAAAGACTAAGGAGATGATATATTATCCAGAAATTACCGCGTGCGCATCAGCCATCCCAGATTCCAACAACTCATCATGAGCAGCCTGATTAGCATTAGGTGAAGAAATTCTCTTGAATTCCCTCTTCAACTTATTCAGATCTGATTTATATTCCCTTAATTTAGCAAGAAGTGTTGCCTTTATCCCTGGCTGCAAACTCCTTGCCTCCAGGTCCATTTTCCGAATCTACCAAAAAACCCAATATCCAAATCAATATCACACAACCCAAAGATAAGGAAAAAAAAAAAAAAAAGAGCAAAGACATCCTTAGACAACATAGTACCAGGACATCAGCCTCATCAATCCCAGAATTTATCTCGGAAAACTTCTGCTTCTTCTGTTCTGCAAAAAAGTAGTCAACCATAAAGAATTATACCAAAAAATTTTCCTTCAAAAGGGTTTTTTTTTTTTTTTTTTTGGGTTTTTGAAATGGATTGAGGAAATACCTGCATCGAGAATAAGAGAAGCAGAATTGCATTTCCGGGAAAGATTGGCTGAGAGTTCACAGTACTGTCGTTCGTACCCTTCGAACACCTCACTCATCTTGCAAAACTTTTCAGACAAGATCAGATCACCAGAGAAGGACAAAAATAAAAGCAAAGATTTAGATCTGATTGGAGAAAACAGTAGGTTGTCGGGGGTTTAAGTAAGATAATCAAATTTTCACCCCAACTGTTTTCGAAGAGAGAACGGCAGAGAATTTAATTGACTTTTTATTGTGAGGAAGCTAGATTCTCTCCCTCGTGTTTGTTGAACTTCCCTTTGGCGTCCAAACGGTGCGTTTTACACCTTGCGAATTGTGCCTTCCTTATGTTTTAATCCCATTAACAATAAATGGCATAAATTCTTTTTTTTTCACAGAAAGCTTAAATTTTTTTCGCATCGGCTGAGATAAATAAACAAATAAAAAATAATTTGAAAAAAAAGAGTCAAAGAAATGCCTATGGGGAAGCAAGGTTGAAAAGTGGAACCTTGAACTCTTTGTCCTGCATTGAAGATTCAATTACGAAAAATCTTCATAATGGGATGATTATCCAAGCCACATTTTGATCTATGACCGACCAATTTCTGAAAAATTCAGTGATATATATAGCACAAGAGTGAGAACAAAATGCTTCATTACCATTCCAAGTAAAATCTTCTAATTCTATGCTTCTATAAATCAGTGAGCAAAGGCAATATAATTGACTGCAACAGGTTTGCAACTAATCGAAATGAATGGGATGAATCCTTCTCACTGCAGGAACACCATATACAGACCAAGACCAATTTTTAGCGAGCAAATTTTGGCAAAGGTTCCATGGAAGCAGCAATTATCAACTGATCAACTTATCCACATTTCTAGGGAAGGTTGTCTGAATGTCTACTGGTTCGCTATCCCTGTTGCCATAATACTCGGATTTGATGAATCTTTAGCAGCATCACCTCCAAAAATAGCAATGTATTGCACATGTCGATCTACAGATGCACTGACAAACCCTTTTCAAGTGGCAAACTGTACACAATGTTAAACTCCTGCAACAGCCTCTTCAGTGGCGGCTGTTTCATTAGAAGGAACCGAAACTGTTTCGCCAGATATGACACCAGTTTCGCCATGCTTGAGCAATGATTGCTCTGGGTCTTGATCAGGGAAAACCTCAGACTGTAAAGATGGTGCAATGTTATTCACATGTAGCCAAGTCAGTTCCCACAAGCTATCTCCACCTAGGGCACTCCTCTGGATAAGTACTCCCTTTGTCTTCATTATAAGCAACGTGTTCTTAAGGACCTCAAGCACTAGCTCCTGAAGCTTCTCACTTTTCTTACCTCTGACTTTTACCTTCATATATTTTTCCATTCGGCTGAGCACACCAAGCCATAGTTTGCAGAACGTTGTTAACTGTGAGAGCTCATGGAGTAACTGTAAAAACACTTTTGAAAGGAGCTTCATGGCCAGAATAAGTGTGCCTTCCATATTTCGGTGGTCCTTTTGGTGTCCCTGAGCAATTTCAAGCAAGTCATCAAGCATTGTGAAGATTACAAGATCGAAACATTGCAACCATACACCATGTGAAATGTGGATCCCATCCACTCCTGTCAAGCACTTCTGCAATGATAGAAGAGCATGGTTTCTGACCTCTTCTCTCTGGTCCAAACAAACTTTTCTCAGTCCCTGCACAAGCCTCAGCCACAAATCACCAATATCCTGAAACATCTTTGCGGCATCCTCCTCTCCCATTGCTTCCTTGGCCTCATTGACCCACCTAGCCAAACAATCAACAGAACATGACATAACATCCAGTGCACGTACAGATCGCTCTGCCTGTCCAACACGGGACTCAGCAAACTGCCTCACGGCATCTATGCAGAGAACATAATTTGCTGGGAGCAAGTGAGCCCCATCAGACATAATAAATAATAGTGCATCAAAACCAGCTTCAGATGCTTCTGGATGCCGGGCAGTGAAAGAAAGTAAAGATGTGATTGTACGCCACCCCATTTGGGATCTTATGTGGGTAGCATTTGCCTTCACTAGACGACTTACTTCCTGAGTAATTTGCTCACAGTATGCATCGGCCACTCGAGCATCAAGTTTCAAGACAAGTTGCAGGGACCTCAAGAGTTCATCGGCCAGGTTCTCTTTGTAAGGAAGCAGCCGTTGGCAAATTCTAAGAAGCCCAAAAACAGCCTTCTCTACCAGGGCACAAGCCATAACAGTTGATTGAACAATTTTCGCTATGTGCTCATAGACACCCTGCCACAGAAGCACAATCCTATCACGGTTGTTCAGGGTAATTGCAATAAGCAGCTCCAGGCAGAAAACTGCAGTATCTTCATCCTCAGGTGAGCTACTCCCTTTCTGTGGCCGCCCAGCAGCCCAAATCAGTGCTCGTGCTAGCTGCAACAATGATTCAGCTTGCAAAAATTTACTCTCAGTAAATATGCTGTCAATGTGGCATTTTTGAATCGTCTGAAGGGTTCGTTGATGGGCAGCAAGTTGTTGTTCGGTGGGCTGTGATCTTGGCTCCTCTGTATCAAGAGATAAAAGCTGACTGAAGCGGCCCATCAATCCAGAGGATCTTCTGGGTTTCCTATGGACTGTATGTGAGCTGAAGATAAAGAATTTGTAATTGGCTTTCCATGAATGGGGTCAGCACAGAGCTCTGATTCATCAGCTGCATCACTGGCTACACGAGCAGGAAGAAGGCCCAGCTTGTGCAGTCGTAAGATGCAATCCAGTATATTCCTCCAACCTGTGCGAATATAATCACCATATCTATTTGCAATAGTAAAAACAGTTATAGTTGCCATCCTAGCTTTGGTGTTGTCACCAAAAGCTAACACTGGTTCCTCAACAGATGATGCATTCAAAAGGGTGGTAAACTTGCACAGGGACACAACTAGGTCATCCAGTACATCTTCAAGATGGTGGCATGCTGAAATTTTCGCAACAGCTAAGAATCCATCAATACAGGTCTGGTAAACATCTTCATGTTCAGCATGATCAAATACAACAGAGATAGCAGCAATTGTTGGACCTGACATTATAGCAAACATATCATGGTCAAGGTAGGCTCTAGAATCAGCTACAATGAACGGTGCAGTTTTCTTAGACTTGTGCATCAAATCAATCCACCGACTTGGGGTCATTTCAGGGTAACCAAAGCCTTGTTCTGGAGTTGTGCGGATCTCATTCTTGCATATTGAGTGGTATAGTTCTGACAGAAATTCTCGTGGCAGATCATTGCCTCCATTAATATGCCTATTATTCCGGATGAAATCCTCCTCTGTCATCTTTTTCTTTACTTGAACATTGTGCTGATCTGTGTTAAGCATTATAAGTGAATATGATAATAACAGAGCAGCATCCTTGTTAGCTAGAATATGTGACGATTGCTCATAGTACCTCCCAGAAAATGCCTCCAGCACCCTTTGTATCTTTTGTGATTCTCCGGGCAAGCGAAAAGTTTCCAAAAGCAGTCTTAGAGCAGTATCCAGATTCATATCTTGGAAATCAAAAGTCCCCGCAAATTCATGAAGAACCTGCACACAGAACTCATCGTGATTTCCCAGGAAATCCCCAACAAGATTCTTATCTAATCCAGCAGTGTACCTGAAAAAGCAAGCCACACTTTGCGGGTCAAGTTTGTCGGGCAAAAGATGTGTTCCTTGGAGAAATTCTAACCCTTTTTTTGGGTCACGGTTAAAGTGATCAGCTCCAATCATTAACCTTCTCTTGATGTATTTTCTCCGCCGAACAAATGGAACCCAATAACTGGGATCACTGTAGTTATCACACTTCACCATCCAGAATGGTGTATATTCCTCAAGACTAACCGGCGCCTGCTCTGAACTAACTGATCCATTGCCAATCCTCTCAGCCATTCCCTGGATAACAGCAATTAAACCATCCAAGGCGAGAATGTGCATTGCAGACAAAGGGCCGTTCACAGGGAATGCACTCCTTGACAACAAATTAGCAAGGTCTTCAAATACATTGCTGCAAGTTATGTCACAATCTAGATTAGCATACATCTCCACCATAAATGTTTTCTGCCTACAGAAGTCAACAAGGGCTTCCATAGCCACCTCTTGCTGCTGGTATGAAGCTCCACATTTGCCTTGTCCAAGCATCAGAATTACACAGGAAAAGAAAGCCTCAAGCTGTAATTTGAGTTCTGTACGCAGATGGTGATACAGATTTAGAACAATGCTACATACCATTGAAAGAATAAGTGGACTCATTGACAAGCCAAATTGCATCAGATTACGAAATAATTCATCCTGAATCAAGCTCAATAGCCTCGGGTGACGGCGGAAGGAAGGCCCACCCAATTCTATGGCAGAGTTAATTAGACCCAATGCAAAAAGTGGCACATCTTCATCAAACGCTAGGGTATTTGAATAGGGGCCCATTCCCGCATGCTCAACAGCATTTAATAAAGAACACAAGAAATGAAATATCTCCACCATGCAAGGGACACCATATGGCTCTGTCATGAGGTGCAAATCATATGGAACTGTCTCCTTTCCATTACCAGCTACTATTATACTTTCTTCCTTCACAGTTGCTCCCAGACCTGCAGAACCATTGGATGCAAAACTCCCAGAAGATGCTTGGCCGTCATACTCAGAGCCATTTCCATTCTCCACTTGTTTAGCCCCAAATGCATAATTGTTATCCATCCCACCAAGCTGAAAAACAGAAAACCCTAGACTTCTCAGTTTTGTTTATCATTCCACAATCTCAAGTAACTCACTTCACCATCATCAACCCCCCACCCCCTCCCAACCCATAAATAAGTAAATCAACAAAGAACATATTGGCCTATTGGCCCTACTCAAAAACATGTCAATAGTGCTATTCATCCCTTCATTGTACCTCACTAATAACAACATCTAGTAATTACCATCAAAACAAATAAGCACACTGCAATATGGTGCCCCACACAGAACAGACTAAGTTCAGAGAGCAATGTGGTGGGTCTGCGCTACCATTGTCCACAATCTAGGTTAAGAAGGTTCAAAAGCATACACACACAAACATGTGTGGAACATACTTTTTGTGGCCTGTTTACTGAAGATTTAGTAGAGAATATTAATTCAAAGAATGCTTGATTTTCAATATGTCTTAAAAAAGTCCAACCTGAATAGATGATGTGATACTGATGAAAATCATAAACCATAAAAATTGAACGAAACTTAAGAAATATCAATTTGGCTTCTGGCATCTTTTCTTTTATCCTACTTTCATCAGACAACAGAAGACAAGATGAAGGAGAAGTTGAAGCCAAAGAAAAGATGAAAAACGAGAGGAACAATGGAAGAAACACTAACCTCTTGTTTAGCAGTGCCAATTGTGTTAACCAAGGCATGTTCTGTGTTGTCAACACTTGAAAGGTGTGAAAATATACACCTCATTAATTCATGCATTGTGTGGCGAGCTATCCGTTGTAATAACTCACTTTTCTTCTCTGCTTGGTGAACTATACGAAAGCAAGTGTTAACTATTGTGCAAACATGCTGATTACTCAACATAAGTGAGGCTTTACATTTCATGCAAGCAAGAAGAACCTGAAGTATCTTCATCAGTACAACTTCTTCTGATGCAGGATCAGTCACCTCAAAACGGCAGCTAGTCACAGCATCAACTACTAAACACATAGCATCTTCGACATTAACAGTATTTTGATCAATCACATCAAGGATTAAAATTTTGTGAACAGAAGATAGAGCAACACCAGTGATTGGCGCACCAGTTTCATCTGATCGAATCACATCTAAAAAGGGCTGGAGATACAGAGCAGGGTTGATAGTATGCCACTGATGCTGCCACAAGAAAATTTGCTTTCGTAATGCCTTTAATGACTGAATTAAAGAGTGTTCTAGCTGATCATCACCCAAAATGTATCGACCGCCCCATCTTACATTCCTCCTCATGACAGCTAATACAGAACCTACTTCTGAATTAATCATACATGCCAAAGTAGCTTTGTTAGAACATGTAGTATCACAGTCCTCAGGTTCTTCCTGAATTGCCTTGATTCCAGGTTGCAGCTTTAGACGCCCCATTTCTGAGCAATATTCTGTCTTGGACCTAAGGCCTTTCTATATTTCCTAACAGCTAGAAAGGAAGGCAAAGGAAGGCACAGTGACCCCACCAGAGCATACCTTCACGATTTACAAAAGATAACCATCACAAACAAGCTCATTAACCATTTCATGTACTGAAAAAACCAAGTAACGCTCAACGACTAAAAAGAGGAATAAAGTTAGACATTGAAAAAGCAGCCTCAGTGGCCACAACAAATACGCAGAAGAATTCATAAAGTGACATGCGCAAACATAATAGGTGCAAGTAAGTACGTATGTTTGTACTGTCGAGCAAAGAGACAGAGACTAAAAAAACATCTAAATGCACCAGTAAAGCAAAAGAAACAAGAGAAGATAAATATGATATACTCCAAACCATGGCCTAAGGCCAGCTTCTCCACTCCTGATGCACAGAACCTCTAAATTCTGGCTCTATGTATACAACATGCTTATTACATATGAATGCCTAGTGTAAAATATGTAGCCTACCAAATGTGAAGCTCCAAGAAAACAAATGAAATGAAACAAATTCATACAGTATTTATCATATTTAAGAGATCTAGCAAAATGAAATAAATCCATACATTTCATCAGAATATCAGATTGCAGTCAATAAAATGAAAGACATCTAATGCACCAGTTCGATATTAATAAGGATATGATAAAAAAAAAAAAAACTTAAAATTCTAAATGCACAGCTTTTGACGATTAGTTCATGTCAACTTTCAAAAATGAAAAAAAAAAAATCAAAATCGTGTTAGTTTTCATTTTCGTTTCATTTCTTTTCCTAAACACCATACTGCCGCTCAATGCATATAGAATTATAACCAAAAAGACGGAAAATTTTCGGCAAAATAAAACAAGGAGAGCATTAAATCGTTGAAGATAAAATTGAGATGACATCGAGCGAAAAAGACAAGTTACCTTTGTGGATCGAAAGAGCGAGATCCAACAATGAATGGATTTCTCTTTCTTTTTTTTTCCCCCTCTGAAGGGAGAAAAAGAGAAAATGGGGAACGAGGACAGCGTAGCAGAGTCCTGAGACAGACCGAAAATGAAAGTGATAATTTTTAATTTACATAAAAGCCCCTTCACATTTCCTTTTTCGTTTTTATTTTTGTTATAGGGACGCGAAGAAAAGCTGCAATGGTTTTGTTTCGATAATTAAAGTATTACTAACTACGATAAAGTAATAATTTAAATTATTCTGAAAAAATACCAAATGGGTATTTTCATTTAAATTATTCTTAAACATGTGAAATCTTTTACATTTTTTTTTGTGCGTGCACAGCACGTTAATCATAGATTATTGAAAAAACAAACTCAAGTGATAAAAACTTAGGTTAGATGCACAAATTCAAGTAGTAGTAACAAATATTTAATTATTTTATTCAAAATGGACGATTTTATAATTAAATTAATTTCAAAATCAACTCAATTGCCAATTTTTTAAATTAAGATACACTACTAAAAAATGATTCTAGAGAAAAATCATGAATTTCACGTAATAAATAATAAATTTCAAAACAATCAAAATAAATAATATTTTACAAATTAATATAAATTGTAACACGAAACATGCAAGAGGGTGCAATAGAAAAGATATAAAAGAACCAAAATTTCCGAATAATAAGTGAACAAGCTAGATTCAAAGAAAGGGCAATCTGTCACAAATTCTAGCAAAATATCGGGTAAAGCAAATTGCAAGATTGTTTGAATCAACTCCACATGTTTGGATCAAATGTTTTGCGGATGAAACATTAAAGCATGTGTTTCTGGATCAACACGATCAGCAGCTACATATGCCCAAACCCTATGCCATTATCTTAGCAGACCTAACATAGAGACTATCTACAACCTTGCCAATGTTGGAGATGGTTTCCAATGTTGCGGGGTAGATAGCATCGGTCTTGGGATCGTCAAATATGACGAGACATCCAGCACCCTGATCCAGAGTTCCTGCAAACTTTTTATCCAGAATCATCTGAGAAAGTTTCTTCTCCACATGATCTATAGGCAATTCAATCAGTTCGGCAATATGAGCAATCTCAACCCTGGAGAAAGGCTCAATCAATCGGCAGAGGTTCTGCTCCAATAGAGTGTCATACAGGGAAGAAAGGTGCCTGTGAACAATAGGATCTTCCTCTAGTTGGGCCCTGAAATCACGAAGAGCAGTCTCGAAAAGCTTCAGGGAACGTTTTGCATGGGCATCAGCAACAGCTTTCATGGCGTCAAGTTCAGGCCCAACATACTGTAGCCCTGCCTTGGATGATATTATACCAGCAACATCATCAGCCTGGCTCACCATTATTTTGCACAACAACATATACTTGAGGCTAAATACTGCACGAGGATCTTCAAGAGCATTGAAAGCTTCAAATGCTTCAAAGAAATAGCTATAAGCAGTCTTGTAATCCTTCTCCTCTGCATGGAGGATTCCACTCTGCAAATCTATATTACCCTGTTGAGCTGGTGGCACATAAATTGCATTTGCTGCTGTTCTTGCAGCTGTTAGAGATGCCTTGGCTTTCGGCAGGTTTCGAAGAGAGAAATGAAGCTTACTCTCTAACAAGTCTATGTCCACAAGAAGCAGCTTGTCATCCAACCTTCTGACCTCCTTGATTAGGCCAGAAAGGAGATTCAATGCTTCTGAGTACTCCTTGTTGTCCATCAAAAGAGCTGCAAGCTTTGCCTCAACTCGTTGGCGTAGGAAAGTTCGCTTCTCAGCACGAGTCCACTGCACCACTTCCTTGCAGAGAGAAATCTGGAGATCTGATGTTCCTGGTATTTTAGCTACATCATCAATTATACCACGGACAATCTTAGCAGTTTTAGCCTTTGGAATTAATGCAAAAAAGGGCCTCAATTGGGTTAGAAGGCTTCTAAGCTCCTCAGCTCGGTTCTCTTGTCTAAGAAGATCTGAGAGATTTGTTATGGCCTGTTCTTTAATCCGCAGAGCATCAGGAGCAGATGAAGGATTTTCTAGTACACGATAGAGGATTGAGATGGCTTCAGATGGTGTTTTGGCTTCTAGGGCCTGTGCAACTGAATCAGTAGTTGCTGGGAGATATGATGAAGACATCGTAAATGCTTAGGAATACCAAATCCTGCAAAATCAACAATTCAATTTGACGTAGATGAACTTGCATAAACAATTAAATTCCACTACAAAAATAGACACAAAGGTACCCAAGAAGTTACTAGCTACTTTGAAAACAGGGATTGCAGCCATTATAGTTAGTAAATCTTATACAGAACCAACTAACAAAATGCAATAGTCAATGGAATTTAATAGCAAGAAATTAAATTATTTCATCACTCAAGACAAAGACAAGCATCATCAAAAACTCGCCTTTTTTGCAAAACCAGAGCTATTCTTACAAAGCAAACTCCAAACTTCACAGACCATACAATAATTCATTCCAAATCTTGAAAATAAAAAACAAAAAACAAAAAAAATATATATATATATATATATTGTTCAGTCCCCTTTGAACATGGTTTGACAGTCTACAAATCATCATCCGTCTTCCCATGTACCATGTCAGAGACATACTAGGAAATAGTGCGCAATTAGCAACTCTTCGGACAATATATACTATTTATCAGCAACTACAAAAGCATGTCACTTACTATAGGTACCAACATATAGCAAAAGAACAAGAATTAAGGCATCAGCGTTCTTTTTACTGATCTCCACTTACAAAATCAAGTTTCACTTCAGTAAGCCTCAAATAGCTATGGAATGTCAATTCAGTTTCTCACAGAAGAAACCGTCACGTTAGAATAAAACCAAGTGCTAATAGGCACCCCCCATAGAATACTTAAACCCTCACAATTTTCAATCAAATGATGACAAATTGGAAAAGAGCTAAGCCACCTAATAGTGTATTCAAAAGTGAAAAGCAGTTAAAAGTTTTACGCATCTGATCTGCCCCTATTCCCCCCTCTTAATCGAAACTTCATTTCAAATCTCTCTCAAATCAAAAGGATATAAGAATAAGCGAAGAACTATTCATGTTGCACTCCCTTTTCTAACATTCAAAATTATTTTTTACCAATGATCTTCAATCAGCATATAATGATCTTCAATCAGAAATCAGAACAAAACAAGGAATAAAACGACATAACACCGCCGATAACAAATCGATGGCAGCGGCGCCGGCACGGAGGCGCCGTCTTGACCACAGAGAAATGAGTAAACTACGAGGGATAGTAAATTTCAAAGAATAATCATAAAATGAACTAAATCGAACATAAGAACTCGGCAGTTCAAGAAACTCAACAGAAATATATTGAATCTAATGGGAATTTAAGGGGAAAAAAAATAAACGAACCTTTGAAGTAGAAATGTAAACTAAAAATGGCGAAAATGTTAACTCGAACCAGAGAAGAAAATAGACGAATAGATCTGTTCCTGAGTTACACGCTTCCTTCAAATTGTTGTGCTTTAAGCATTCGCCTTTTTCGAGTCGTCCGACCCGACTTCCGTAGCAAGAAACTTGAGAGACGGTCGATTGAAACTTGCTATCTAGGCTTTGGGGCTTTTAAATGATTTTGGGCCTTGGCCCTTCGCTCACCCAATTTGGAAAAGCTTTCAACCTAACTATAGTGAGCTTGAAAATTTACTAGCAAGCACGGAATTTTTTTCTTTTTTATGTTTTTATGTGAAAGTTTATTGTGTTTGTTTTATTTAAGTAAACAAATTTTTCTTTTCAAAATTCAGACGTAAAATTAAATTTGATAATTTGAAACATAATATGATATAATGATATAATACAAAAATAACATAATTTAAAATTTTATATATATTTATTATTTTACACATATTTAATATGAAACAAATAAAATATAAATACATGAATTATCAAATTTACATAAAATTTACAAAACAATATTTAAGATAGTTGAGACATGGTACTTATCAATTCAAATGTATAGTTATTATTATTAAAAGAGTCTGGTTTAATTTTTTAAATAAAATAATAATAATAATAATAAAAAGTAAAATCAATTCAATAAAGTTAGATTTTTTTTAAAATTTTTTGACTATCGAACCATTTAGAGTTAAGGTCAAACTTGTTATCGTACTTCAATTTCATTGAATTTTGTTATGGTATTTTTATTTTGTTTATTTTTTGACATAAATAATAAATTTGATGAAAATTTATTATTTATATGAATAAAATATTTTGTGAAATTAATGCTCATATAATTGTACAAATATGGAGTAGTAAAAACTGGCATAATTGATCAATGGGTCAGTCAGCTGACTCGAAGCACAGGAAGCCTGCGTTGTGCTGATAGTAGCTCTCGTTCATATGAGCAATTTGAACCAACAGCTGGTTTATCTTCTGCGCCATGAAATTGAAACTTGTAGAATGAGTTATTATAAATGTAAGTCTGTCAGAAGTTGTACTTGGATTCCAACTCCTGTGACTCTGACTAACAAGGAAGAAACAGAACAAGAACAAGAACAATCTTTTCTCTTATCTTTTATCAGTTTTTACAGTTGAGCAGCGCTGACAAGGGAAGCAGATATTTTAACTGTCTTTGCTTCCAGGATTTTCTTTGACATCTTGGTTTTTCTCTTGAACCTTCTTCTCTTCCTTGACTCTTGCACGCCACCTCCTGACTTCGGCATACACCAATGACAGGAACATAGCTGCTACGACCCCATTAACTGCCCCAACTGACCAAACCCTCCACCCAAAGGCCATATAATATCCAACTCTAGCACCAACCTTCACAGTCCCATTAGTCAGGATTTTACAAATCTCGTTCGCTTTCTTCCAAGGCCCTGAATTTGCTTGGTGGACTGCTACTTCATGTTGGTTGTGGTGGAGATGGTGGAGATGAACGAACGAAGAAGTTGTTTTTTCCAAGACAATCCATGGAAAATGAGTTCTTTTCTGGGATTTCAAGAAAAGCCCACTGAAGTTTGACTTTTGATTTGCCCTTTTGTCGGTTCACTTTTCAGCTCTTTTCTTTTTTCCCACCACAATACGATGTCAGCTCTCGTTTAGCTTATTTTCCTCAGTGTGGTTCGGTATGGCTTTAAAGCACTGCGACAACAAGGGACAGAAGGACTCTGCTCTCTAAACCAATCATGGGTTTTCAGACAGAAGAGATTAGGGACCTCACTTAAGCCACTAGATACACGACACGTGGATCATCATTATCTCCATTGTTAGGTTTAGAGGGCACTCCTTAACCTTCTGTCTTATTATATAACGTATGCTTCTCTTTCTCTGTTGAATGAAGAATGAATGAAACAGTGAGAAGTCTGTTACTCCGAACGAGTTGATACTTTGACAGGCAAGAGATCAAAAAAAAAAAAAAGGAGATCAAAAGCCACAACTTTTGCTTTCTGCAGCCTGCATGTTACAATGAGATAAGAACCATTGGACATGAAAGATTTTGATGGAAAAGCTTGTCATTCTAACTAGAATTCTTGATCACAGATAGCAGCAGTGCAAAAAGGAATCAAGTGCAAAGTTCCATTTCATTGTGTTCTCAAAAGTTTGTTCATCATGAGGATAAGTAACAGATATATTCTAGCTGTAAATGCTAAAAAACTCGCCCTTCTACAGTTTTCTCTTCTGGGATCTGAAGCAACTCTCGAATTCCTTCGCAAACCTGTAGTAAGAGTATATGAATCATAGATAGTAAACGCCAACCAAAAAAGCAGATACTTGAGAGAAAAAGCAGAGGGAAGCTATGCAACATACCAGCTTAATCTGGGCTTTAATTGATGCAATCAAGCGGGTATACTCCTCTATTTGCCTGCATAGTGCATTTGTAAAGAATACTTGAGAAAAACAGCAGGGGAAGCTATTCAGAAACTTAATACATGAAGGCCTTCAATCTTATGATCACATTCTATTGTGCAGGCCAACGCCTGTTCAAACTCTAACCTCTACTATGGAACTATCTTGATGATTGATGCCAAATTTGAAGGAGAATGATTTTAGAACAACGGAACTTTAAGAATAACTAGCCAATTTGTTCCTCAGCATGCAGCAACACTGATTCTAGCACAGACTAGGAATCGAGAATTACATGCTAGTAAAACTATCCTAAATTCAAGTTTTCCATGCTTTTAACTTGTTTAGAACAACTAAACATAAATAATGAAGAAATAAAAGTCTAGATCAGCAAAACCAGCTTCTCAACTCATACTGGAAATATAGGAAATTATGGTTGAAGATTTAAGTTTCATTCTACCATATAGTAGCACTAGTGGATCCCATGGCATTATTAAACTAAACTAACAATACACCTTGCATAACATATTAGGTTTTACAAAGAGCGGATGATACATAACATTTCTATCTGACTGATTAGAAACAACTAAGTATTGAGAAGTACTTATGGCTATAAGCAAATATGCGAAAGAACTTCCAAGCAAAGCTGCTTGATCAATTTAAGAAAAGTCATATATACCTTTCCAACTTTTCCTCCCTCAACGAGATGAACTTTAACGCTTCTGACCAGGTGAACTCCACATGAAATCCTAGTCCAATATCCAAAAATATTCGTTGTGTATCTGGCCTGAAAACATGAAGAAGAAGGCCCCAAAACACCAAGAGCACACACATCCAAGAAAAGGAAAGAAAAATGAATGACGGATTAAGCATAGGATGACAAAAGTCTTACATCAAAATTCACTTGCAATCACAAAGTTCAACAAAAATCAAAGTTGAAACATACATTACATACATGGTCGCCCTTAAACCAAAAACATCTAAAGGGCAATTAAAACATGAATAATCCCATTTCACCTATTAGCTAAAATGGCAAAGTAAAAAACACTACACAAATGCATAAATTTCAGTGCAATTAAAAAAATGGAGTAAACATATATGCAAAACTAAAAACATGTGGATGATAAGACACCAAAAACAACAGACATTGAAGACTTACACTTCTGCTTGCATGTACACTTCAGACCCAAGATTAACCAATGTCCGAAGATTCGTTACACTGTTTTGCTCTAAATTTTCTATATTCTTTCGCAAATCTGAGCTACAGAACACAGTGTCAAAGTAAACAGATACAAAGCAAAAATCTTTAGCACATTCTTATTTAAAATGATTGAAAAAACATCATCTTTCTAACTAGAAAAATGGATACAAAATTTTTTGCTGCTCAAAAACCTTGTCCCTGCAAAAATAAAAACAACAAAAAACTAGATATTATATCCCATAACTCTGGTTCGGCTGTACAAAAGGTGAAAAAAGGGAATCATATTAGGTCATAATTTTGAATCCTCTTGCGCCAGTTAGTTCTATCACAACGTTTTCATCTACTTCCTTAACTATCATATCATTTTTTATTACTTGCATTCACGTCTTCTATGATCTACCACTAGAAGTTTTGATCTCTTCTAAATCTAAAAACTCATATATCCTAGTGCACAGAGAAGCCTACGTTTCAGTAATGTTGTTTTTTTTTTTTGTTTTTTTTGCTGTTCAAATATGAAAAAATCAAACTAAATACTAGTGAGAAAAACATGTAAATGTTATTCCTTTTAAAAACAACAAGATGATACCTTTCAGCAATAGCACGAACAAGATCTGGTTTAAGACGGCGATCAACAAATTCTTCAAATTTTTGTATTTTGGCCTGGTTTAAGCTGTCCATTACTTCTTTCTTCTACCCAGCAAAAATTAATTGGTTTTGATCTCGCGCTTCTGCAAAAATTGCAAAAATTTTGTTTTAGGCATTTCATCGAACGGGTAAAACGCAGAGGAAAACGCAGAGGGTTTTTTCTAAGGAGTGTGTAAAAAAGAGAGTGGCTTACTCACCTGTTAGGACCGATTCAAGTTTTTCGAATTTTTAAAGTTACCAAGTCCCGCTGCAATTAAGAAAGAGAAAGCTAGAAAGACGTAACAAAATTTTGAAGCCGTTACTTCCCAGCTACGACTTGAGTTTGCTTTCAGAGAAAATGCACTGAAGGTTAGGTTTTAAACTTTCAAATATCAAAATTATCCTTTATACTTTTATTATTTTATTTATTTGTAAAACTGATAATTTTAATCGAGATGCGATCAAAAAAAAAAATAATAATAAGAATAAGTCTAAAATTTTTGTAATAATTATATATAAGTTTATCGATTTATGTATTTATATATTACAAAATATTAAAATTTATGTATTTATATTATATTTTATAAAAAAATTATATATCATTAATATATTAACACAAAAATAATATTTTTTATTTTGTTAAATTTATTTATAATTATTATTAAAATTTTAAATTTATTATTTTTATATTTTATTTTTATATCGTATTCATATCACATCAATATATCGTATTTTATATTATTAAAATTTAATTGTATATAAATTTGACAAAACTTAAAAATTAAATTTTATATTTAATATATCAACACAAATTATTACATAATAATTTTATTTATTTTTTATATATTTAATATAAAATAAATACGATACAATATAAATGAATTGCTATATTTATTTGTTTATTTGGTAGGGGCTAATTTATTCTCTCATAAACTTATGGCTTTACTCGATCTTAAAAGCCACATTAAGCGAAAAAGCAAACAGATTATAGCTTAAGCTTAGGCAACTCAAAAGGGCATGAAGTAAACAAACTCCATCGTATACTTTCTCTTACAACGTCATTTAATTCACATGTGATGGTCCTATTTGACGACCAAATTGGGTAAAGTTTCATCTTTCATATATCCTAACTTTCAAGCTTGATTCGACTATGGTCATTTAAAGGAATTATCTACATGCCCTTCATCTTAAACTTGTTCACGAGGAGCCTCTGATCAGAAAATTCTCTGCCCAAGCCATTAGAATATGATTCTACCTCCTATCTTCAAAAGTCAGGTCATCGAAGACATAATAATCAAGTTAAAAAACCCATTTTCTGGAGTAATCAAGAACGCATTTATCCAATAACAAGCAGATTCATATGATTCTTCTCCAACAAAAAGAATGATAGAAAAAAAACAGTCCATATGTTCAAGCTGTCACTATCAACAAACATACTTTTCTACAGCAATTCTTTCTCAATGCTCAAAATCATTCTTATATAATTGATGAATATTTTATATGCATTTGTATTGAATCAAAATATTGTATAGCTATTCTTTCATTCCGTGATGGTATGTCACAAGAAATTTTATGAACGTGAGCCATGAATATCTTTAGCATATCATGAGCTGCAGACCCTTCTTGCCGGAATTTTGACAAAACAACAACAGATACTCATTGATACTCCAACAATGGAACTGGCAGTTAAATCCTCATGTTATGAACATGAAAAATATTAGCCAATAGCATAACAATGTGTACAATGATGTCATTGAACACCCAATGATTCGGCTGAGGCTGCTATGGTTTTCAACATTGATTGACATTCACCAGCTGAGGCTTCCATGGTATAAGACCTGCAACTGAAATAGAAAACTGTACTCATCATGGAATCAACAAGCACTACGAACGAATACATTATCACCAACAGAGGCCCTTCCCAGATCCTAGAAGACCCATCTCCATAACTCAACGTCTTTACTCTATGCTCAAACAACCCTTCCACAAATGCCAACCCAATTGTAGTTCCAAGAAATATCAAAAGGGCAACCTGAGTCTGCCCCTTGATTAGGACACCAGCTCGATGCAATGCCTGTTGTCCTGAAACTTCCTCCAACACACAGATTACAATTCCAATATTGCAGACAACAATTGCATTTGCAAAAACAACCGCGAACACTGGCCCCATCATTATCACCGTGTAGACGATTAAATCAGGTGTAAAACCAATAACAGAAAGTACACTACATGCAGCAACAAGGAACACAAAGAAAGTTGTTACACAACCAACAATTACCATACACATCCACACATATGTTGAAACAAGCTGCCTCCAAAACTTTCCAATTATCACAAAAAACTTCGAAACATCAGCTGATTTCCTTGAATAAGTACAATCTACACAATAAACCACTGCCGCCTTTGATAACAAAGACAATGTGATGAACAAAGGGAAGCACATTGTCGAGGAAACAGCCGTTTCAGCAAAACGTCGGCATGACTGTTTGATAAAAGGTCTCAATGGGAGTCCACTGGTTTTGGCTACTAACAAAAGCCTAACAGTTAATCTCTTCACAATGGATTGATCAACTAACAAATTAGACATATGGACTGCAGATACTGGGCAAATTAACAAAGCTGCAATGATCATAAAACCGGACGAGTTGTACCGTAAAATCCTAATGGTTTCTCTTAAGATCTCTAGTGCATTCATCGAATGGAATTGGTGGTTACGGTCACCAACATTATGGGATAGTTCTAGCTCAAAATTGTTTCCATGGGGTTCCTTTGAACCTTGATCTAATCTTATTCGTGGAGAAGTGACGCTAGCAATTTCCATTTTAATCAATACCCAGAAGGGATATCAATCCCCGAAGCTAAACAAACATTGTAAATGACAGAAAACAAAGCTTAAATCAGATCTGAAAGAGCAGGACCCACCTCTGTAACTGCTGAGAAGTCACGAAGAAAACACAGTGAAAATACTCAAACAGGGAATTTAAAGTGAAAAGCATGGAGATTGTGGGATTGGAGGGAAATTCTCGAGTATTGAACGTCTGGTAGAAGAAGAAAAGGATTGATTAGAAAACGTGTGAATCTGGGTGTTGTGGCAATGGCCCTGGCGTTATCGTGCACGAAATTGTTCTTCAAATTTTACATATATATTGCATTGCAAAAGGGAAAGGTACGCCTAACGAAGTTAGCTGCCATTTTTGGGGGCCATGCCATGTTGCCAGCGTTCTTTAGTCTGTAACAGCTTGTAATGGGTTATGGATGGTTACAGCCTTAAAGGATTACAGCCATGGAGGGGCCTCACTTTTAGCAAGAGGCAGCCATTTTGGAATTTTGGTACAAAAATCTTTAAAAAATAGGGGTTATAATAAAATTAGTTTAAAATACTGCCATCTTTCGTGTAGGTGTCGGTGGTCGTTCAAACTAACATATGGAAAAATCATTTAACTATTTGCCACGGTTTGACAAATTGCTAATGAAAAGGATTTTGAATCATTTAACAGGACCATACAATCCTGTTATATGAAATGCCCCAAAGCCAAAGCAAGCTACTCCTGGGAGAAATAAATGAATTCCAAAAATCTTGGACAAATCCAAAGATGGTTTTCTGTAGGCTCGTTATAAAAAATTTTTAGATCTCGATATACTCAATGCCAGATAGTTGTTAAGAAACAGCCAGAAATCATAATATGTGCTCCGACCACACCTTCGTAATTTCAAATACCAGTATTTGTTATAATTCGCCCAATAATACTCCAACCGTCCCATGAATTGATTATTCCTAAACGAGTTATCAAGGGTGTAATGAACATATTTTGTTTTCACATTGGATCAAGAACACGATTGGAGGGATCAAAAATAGCTAATTCATATAGAACCATTGAATCGGCCGAACCAGCAACTAGAGCTTTATGCATTATATGAACAGAAAGCAAGCGACTATGATCATTCAATATGACAGTACGAACACGATACCAAGACAAAACCATGGAAATACCCTTTTATCAAAGCAACGAAAAATAAATACTATGCAACTTCATTGCATTGGAATACCCCCCTTTTCGATGGATTCTTCTGAAAAAAAGATTAATATTTGTTCTATTCCATTAACAAGGGAAGAATTCGACTCAAGACAAAAAAGAAGAAGCATATCTATTCTATATAGGTAAGTATTAATACGTAATAAGGGTTGATCCTATTTTTTATGAATGAATGCATCTCTATTTGTTCATCATTAAAAGGATTTATTTGAAATAAAATATGAAATAAATAAATTGTTCAATCTCAGATCAAATTAAAGATATATCATACGTAATATCTTAAAAATAATGATCATAAATTATGTATTCGAGATAATTCTAATAAAAAAATTATCAATTGAATTCTAACTTAAAATATCTACGTCGAGAAATATAATTATAGTCAATTAAGCCAATCTCTTATTGGTTTTTATTTCTTCTCCTGTTATGACAACAATTTTGTTATTATTATTATTTCACAATTACATCAACCAATTTTCCTTTCCAAGCTCACTGGTCAGAACGAAGCTGTCCATTGCTGTTATTAAGATATTTTTGTTACATTAACCGAATGGAATTCAGGGGCAGACAATGAACTCTAGTATGAAAGTAGTTTTAAGTTTTTCCAGTAAGTAAATATTAGTTTGATTTATGAATTATACAATTGGCGTTAACCATCCTAAAATCTTATAAAGTTCAGCATGGGGAGGCATGGTTAAATGGTTATTGTTTCCAACCTTCAAGCTACCATGGCTTCGGGCCATGGAAGATTGTGTCCATGAATGTAACTATGTTAGCCCACTATACTTTCTGAAGATGGAAACTCTCTGCTTAAAGTTTCGTCACAACTGAGCTAGCAGCTTGGTTTAGTTTGTTTGTAGCAACTTGACATGTGGTTTTAATAGCAGATAATTGGGATCCCAAAACAGTCCCCAGCCCACCGCCTGTTTGTTCTTCGGATTCATGTTTCAGAGGAACTTGAAGTGTATGCGAGCTGATCCATCTGCATAAACTAAAACCTTGCTGGAAGAATTCTAAAGAATGTGAAGTAGATTAACATGAGAAAGTAACCTAAACAAGATAGCGAAAATTTGTTTCTCTCGCTACTTTTTCATTTTCTGTATATTCATAGCTTGGTTGCAGTACCCCATTGTCGTCATCAACAAAAGCATATGTGTTTCAACTTTCAACAGCTTCAAATCTTAGCATATGGGAAGAAGAAAATGCTACACAAAACAAATGGGAAAAGACCGCCAGATGGGGAATATATTGTGAAAGTTAAGGAAAGAAGAGTTGCATGCAACATGGGCAATCTGTAAATTTTTCACTTTTTTTCAGAAACTTAGGAAACGTTCAAGACAAGTCCAGGAGGAATCACTTTCATCAAAACCAATACGGAAGTACAATGGAGTGTTATACTCAGTACATGCCAAAAACCCTTTCCTTCTTGTCATCCCAAATGCAAGTACCAAAGGACAGGCTCTTCAATGAAACTCCGGTGGCTAGTGTTGCCTTCATAGAAATCAGAGTGTCTTTACACCTGTTGTCATCTCTCCCATTAGGCCCTGATTTAATGATCTCAAAAGCCAACATTCAAAATTCCAAATCAATTGAACGAGGACCATTAAGCAGTGAAAATCAACCAACTTCATCCATTCACATAAGTCACAGCATTCTATTGGTAGCCTGGCGGAATGAAGATGGTGCTTTTAGTTTAACATCCCACTCATCCTGTTCAGAACCAAAGAGAACATTGCTCCAGTTTGTTGATCTCTGGATCATTCTGGAAGGAACTCGATCACTATCTTCCCCACCAGATGCTTCATAACCATCACTAGTAGAACTCCACAATTGAAATCTCTTCTGAGCAGCCATGTTGACAGCAGGTAAACCTGTTAGCCGTCTTGATTCTTCAGCTCCCGATGAGGAGACCCGAAATGGATGAATATCTGGTGAGTCTAAACTGCTCTCAGGTGAAGAGGCAGCAATCCCAACAGAACTTGACATTGCTTGGCTTGTTTGGAAAGCACTTCGGGCTTCTAGTTGAAGAGGTGCCAAACTACTCGGTGTGTCATTGAAACCTTTGTCAGCATCTTTAGCAGAAATGTTCATTAAGGGCTCCAAGGGTAGGTCAGCTGGAAGACGCAACCGCTTAGATGCTCGTCTTCTGTTGCCATCAGGTCTTGGGAACATTCTCCGGCCACTGCTGCCAAAGCTGCTGGCTGCTTCTAGCCCAAAATGGGCTTCGTGTCTCACCACAGGCTGCAGGATTTTGGACTTCTTCCTTGCTTCAGCTGCAGCTTTTGAAACATCTTCTGCATTTAACCGTGCCAAAGTCCATGGACTGATCTTAACTACTCCTGGGTTCTTCTTAATCGGTTCGTCCCTTATCATTTTTTTCCCAAATGAACCCACAGATGCAGTATCAGGAGGAACAACGTCAAACTAAAACCAATACACAAACAACTCTCAGCTTCAGCAATTCAGAAAATAATAAACTAATTGTATAACATATAGTTTCATATCCATATAATTCTCTTGCAGAGGAAGGTTTTGTCAGAATTACCTGATCTTCAAGGAACAGACGTGGGGGTGTACACCAAGCACCCCTGTGAAAAGTAGAAAAGGAACTAGCACTACTTAATCCAGTAAGCGAGCTGGCAGGGGACATTTGTGGACTCTGCTGACCACCAACTCCTTGTTGCTCTTGGTCCTGTTCCCGTAAAGCTATTATGTAATCATATGTGCTGATTCCCTGAGGCACATTCAGGAATCACCTAATTAGCTCATTTTCATTTTTTCTTTTCTTTCTTCACTTTTTAATACTCATTAGGATTTGATTTATGCAAGATAAGACAGAAAGAAAATTCAAGCCTTCTCTCACAAGCTTACCTTTTTTATAAGCAGAATGTGAAAGAAGAAAAGCTGTGCAAGAGGTAATGTAGCAATCATAGCCAAAAGGGTGCACAAAGCCTGTAACAGTAACAATTAACACTACTTAGCTTAACGTTTTAAATTGGCAGGTGCTGGTAATAAATAGATTTGCTCTTGTGATCTCCTATATGCTATAGTAAGCTGAAAAGATCATGCAGAATTGGTAGTATATAGCATTGAACAGTACCAGTGTAAGTCAATTAATTAAATAGAGAAAAGAGGGGGCGATAAGGATTAATGTAAGCATTAACAGGATACTTACAACCACAATAACGAATGGAACCAAAGAGAAACTGCTTCCTAACTTTGATGAAATATCCACAGAAAACTGCTTCCGCTCAATGAAACAGCAGATAAGTACAAGGATTCCAATCGACCATTGTAGAATAAGCTGCAATCTCAAGCCCAAGGTGGACAAACCATGTATACCTGTCAATATTCAATTAAAATGAAAATGACTAAAAAATAAAAGGCTTACTCTGGGTTTTCTTCATTTCTGGCAACTGTGGAATCAAGGCAGCAAGGACCATATAATATGGCATAGAAATTATACATGAAATTGGGGTTGATTGGAAGATAAAAGGACAATATAATAGAAGCTAATTGCAAGGACAAATTGAGCAATGGAACATTGTTTATTGGTTATTGGGATACTGATAACAAGAATACAAGCTTAGTGTTATTGTCCTCAAAGATCAGGATCTGAGATGCATCTAAGGAAGAGGCTGGCTATAGAGGACTTTGGGATTTCAAAGGAATATATAGTACCACATGATTTACTATGATGATTCTGATCTGATCTGATCTGAACACAGAAGGTGGAGACCGTGCTTACCAATAGAAGAGCAGAAACCATGAGAGTGAAAAATTGCCGGTAGTTCCTTTTGCCTATGCAATTGTTTAGCCACTACAAAAACCAAGGGAATAAAAGAAGCATTAGCAGAATCACTGATGAAGTGGAAAAAGTATCCAACCAATGAAAATCCAGCACTACCCTGCAGTGATGATCGAAACGGTCAACACATTTGTCACAGACTCTGCAGTGCTTGCTATATTTGAAAACCTGCCAAGATTAATAAAATAAATATAAACTATTTATGATGTCAAAACCGAAGGCAATAGCAGGAATTGTAAGACCGACGCAAGATCAATAAGCCCCAGAACCATTATGTTCCAATTTGATGAAATAAAGCAGGTATCATTCCAGGACATCCTTTCCATGAAATTCTTTTTGCACACACTTCCGTAAGATTCAAAACAGGCACAATTGACTTCCGAAAACCAGGCTATTAGTATACAATCATAGACTGTGAAGCTAATTTTCCCCTCTTAAGCTATGTCAATATACGGAACATAATGTAATAATCATCTGATAAAGAAGATGAAAAAATTATAGAACTTTAAAGATGTCAAATGCTTCTGCACCTCAACTTGACACAAACTGCAATAGAACATGCCATCTTCACTCATCTGTTGCTCAGGAGATTCTTCATTTGAGCTAGAGCATTTGCAGATAAAAGCACAAGGAGAGAAAATCCATAGCAAACAAGATGATTGCTTCGATGAAGCATTTTTTCCCTCAATTTCAGGACTGGTGTGTTTCAAAGTTTCATCTCTAGCTGCTGCATCCTTTTCCAGAGTTTTTGCTCCATCTGGTGTAGCATAATCATCATGCAAGGATATAGTTGAATCCCCACCTAATTTAGAATCCTTTGATCCAGAATACTTTCCATTCTCGAGAATTTTAAGATACTTTTTAGACTTGAAAACTCCAGGATCTGCAGGATCTGCCGCCGCACACCAAATATATAGGCCAAGGCAACATGTAATCTAGACAGAAAATATTGTCACTAACACTCCAAACACAATAACAGAGAGGAGCACAGTGGGTGCCATATACAATTTGTTATTATGTATAGCATTATAGTGCCATTAATTATTACTTGTCGACAATACTTGTGAAATGACTCAACCATGCATGCTTACATTGAATTATAGGATTAATTATGACTTGCAGACAAGACTCAGGAATGACTCAACCATGCATACTTAGCACATAGAAATCGCTAGCATATTTCATGACCTCCATTAATGCATTTCAAACCATGTGCTGAATCAAAACTAAAAAGCTATGTTAAAGCCCGTGACTTGAGTTTAACGTACCAATTGTAATCATCTATAGTGCCAACACATACTTTAAACAGCATATCATTAGAGTTCAAAGAAACATAGTTCAACAGGCTAACTTTCTTATAACCATCTGATCTGCATTGAGACTTCCTGTCCCACAAAATCACCAACCAAAATTCTCCTGAGCCAGCTTGATTAGGCCATGTGCAATTACAATACATTGAACAGCACGGGATAATTCAGAAGGGAAGTTCATTTTATTTGCAAAACAGCCAAGTTTAATCTAAATACAATCTTTACTTCTATTACTCAAATGTTGATATTCAAGAATGAGCACTAGTTTCAATTTACCAAATCCCTGTCAGCAGATAACTATATTCACAATTTCCCTAAATTTATCAGCTATTATTGTACAGTTTCTTCAAATTCAAGCCTCAGGACCATTCGATCAAAAATTTCTTCCAAAAGTCTTTCTGATTAGAGTACCGAGTTGATGGCCATTTGTGTGAAGTGTTTCTTTAAGAGAGAATTCATGACAATTACATTACATGTATCGCTAAGTACCCAGTACCCAATGCACTCCTAGCAAAGACTCGGAACTCAGTCCTCAAGAAACTTTATAATGTAACAAGAACTACAAATTAAAGGTATAAAAGTTTTAGAGCCCTGCGTCTTCTTTGATAAGTGATAACAGTTTAGCAGTTCATGATTTAACATTTGCTGATGGTAATGTAAATCGTTTACTTAGACACTTCATGTATCAGATTCCAATAGTAATAGTACCCAAGATTCCAGTAGCAAAACAAACTTAGGATTTTCTCCTGGGTTCAATGGACCACCAGGAAAGAGGAAAAACTTAAGTAGCATTTTGTAACTAAAATGAGGACTCGTGAAGGAACTCAAGTTCTCGCAGGAAGAGCCAATAGTTCTTATAACTTCTTCGATTAAGGAATTCAACGATCATACCTTCAGCTCTTAATCAGATGATTTAAATGGATTGTCTTCCACTAAATCAAGTGAGCAACTAATAATCTTTTAATAGATGAAATTTGAAATTCTTGTACAAAATCAGTGCGTCCTAAAAGAAACACTAGCTAAAAGACAAACAACACATTTGCCCTTTTAAGCTAAAAGTGACAGGTTGATGATATGCTTGAGAGAATCTATTGAGATAAAAGTACCAAAGGAAAAACCTGAAAGGACCCTTAGATTAGAGAAAAGTACCAGAGTGATAAAAACAAGCACATGAATCAGAGACCAACAAGCAAAGAAAGCATAGATCTCAGTTCTTCCACCCACTAAAAAAATGTTATTTGAATAAACACAGAAAAAAAATAAAACGAAAATGTTGAAATGGCTTACAAGAGGAGTATAGATTCCCATCACAATATATTGAAACATCTTCTTCCCAACAAAAGGAGCAAAAAACACATAGAAAGCAAATCCAAGTGCCAAGAACACAGCAACAGCCACCACCTTCACAAAGACAAGTAATAAAAATTAAAACTTTGCTCAATACCCAGAATTAGAACAACAAAAAAAACTCAGAAATTTTACATAAAAATATGAACAGCAAAAAGGAAAGGAACAAAAAATGTACCTGGAGTGGATGATAAGGAAGCTGCCATCCATGCTTCCGCATTTCCTCTTCAAATGTTGCAGTCCCAGAAAAAAGTAAAACAAGGAAAAAGAAGAGTGAAAGTGTATGTAACAAACAAGTAAAAATCTTGATGTTTCTCTTTTCAGCTGGTTTTTTATCTATGCTTATTTTCTCACACTTTCCCTCATTTGGAAAAATAAAAATCACTCGTTTCACTAGAGCACCAACCAAACAAGAGCAGCATCACCCATTTTTTATTTCACGGTTACAATCAGAAATAAAAGATGGAAAGAGTAAAAAAAAAAACACAACAAAAGAAGAACAAGGAAGTTAAAGAAGATAGTTTGGACAGTAAGGAAATCTTTGTTTGGTTGACTCAATCATAGCCCTGCCTCATGCAAGGAAAGAGAGAAAGAAAAAAGAAATGAAAAAAAGAGGAGAAGAAAAATCAAGGGCTGGTCTGGGTTTTTCTTTGTTTCTTTTGGAAAGCTTTTTACTTGGCTAAAGATCTGTCCCAAAACTCACAACTGTAACAAGAACAACAAGAGAGAGAAGACAGAGTCTGGTTTTCTTTCCATGCCTACAATTACCTTCCAACCCAACTCCAACTTGTTCTTTTTTTTTCCCTTGTTCCTGTTGTTACCTTTTTCACTGGGGCAAATCATGTGTCTCAGGCCCAGTGCAACAGACAGTTGTTTGGTTTAACCTTTTATAATAGCCTTCACCAACCATTGTCTAAAAATTTCTCTATCTTTATTTTCAAAATACTTTTTCCACTTGCTCATTTTTTACTTGTTGGTCCCAAGGGACTTAACATTACTCATCCATCAATTTTTGTTAACTGGGCATCAACTATTAAGGGTCAGGGAAAAGGAGAAGGGGGAAGAAATGTTCCAAATGGTAATGGAGTTCTTCAAAGCTTGAGTAAACTGTGTTTGGCAATTTTCTTGTCAGATTTTTGGACTTGAAAACAACTTGTTCTAAATTTGTTTAGATTCTGCTATGTCCAATGGGGGTGTACTCAGGCATTTGTCATTACATTTTTATATCACCTCTTCATTTTTCTATTCATCACTGATTATTCAATAATGTTGACCATTTATATATATATATATAGTTAATTGGAAGAAGGAAAGGGAGGTTTGTCTGACACAAGAAACAAGGTAACTCATCTGCCTTCATCCGGTCTTTCCTCAATCCTCACAGCACACTTTCCATCACCTTTTTTTTACTTTTGTGTTTGCTGTCTATGAATAAATAAAAAGTTATAAAATCTACTAAAAAAAAAAATTCTATCGACAAGCATATTTATTTTTTAATGTTTGGTTAGAAGAAGAACATTGAGTTCCTCACATAAAACGAGAAGAAGAAAACAATTGAAGGAGCACCCCTTAATTAAATGTGTTATATTTAATTGCAATTAATAAGAAAACAAAAAATAATTAAAGAAAAAAACGGTATGACCCGTGAGGCTGACCATGCTCTTTTGAGACATGTGATTGATATTTGACGCCCGTGACAGACAGACAGACATCAATGTGAATCATAAGCCATGACCAATGAATGACTAAGTACATTTTTTTAATAAAGTATTTGTACACTGCAATAAACAACACTTAGATAATAAGGTCCGAATTTTAAAATTTCACCCTTTTTTTTTTTTCAATATTGTACACAAAAGATCTCATTCTCATGTATTTATGATAAACAAAACATTTATTTTAAAAGAAATGCACATATTTCTATGATCTGTAATGCTTTTAAACATGTAACCGTTTGATTTTCTAGGTATAAAAAAGAATTTGTTAATTGTAAAGCCTGAATAAAGCACATTTTAGATTTTCTAGGTATAAAGAAGAATTGGTTAATTGAAAAGTCTAAATAAAGCACATTAGTGCTTTAAGATTTTTTATCCTTTTTGTTTTACTTTTCTTGATGTCAAGCATTTAATAATTGTGTTTTGTGAAGGAAGTGGACCCAAATTGGGCAACCCCTTTTTAGCCGAAAGCGATTCGGATCCAAATGATCATTATCTACTACCATCAGTTTTGCTGCATTTGTGCGCAAAGATCAATAGTAACTTCTTGCTTTTGTTTACATTAGAGTAAAACATTTTCTCACATGTTAAATTGAAAATAATTTGATCATATAAATATAACAACTGGGTTTTTCTATTGCCATTTAACTTTAAATTAAATGTCTATATTCAAATTTAATAATATTATAATAAATATTATCCATTGATGTTCTCTTTGTGATAGAATATATATATGTAAAGTTCATGTCATTGGATAAATTTATTGTTCCTACACGTGATGAAAAGTATTTGACGTAAAATGAAAAAACATCACATCTGTTCAATTAAAAGTAATTTAACATAAAATAAGTTACTTTTTATCTATTATCAATTAATTTTCAATTAAATACTTAAATCTTAAAATTTAACACAATCTTGGTACACGTTTTTTTCTTTCACAATTTCATTTTCCAATCACTCGGATGTGAAAAAAGCGAAATTCTACAACTTTTGCATTAAATTATCTTACATCTTTTTTTCTTAGGTGACTAGAAATAGTTGGTCTAAAAGAGTGACGAAGCAAAACTTGAACACTTCAAAGGCAGGATTGCTATATCCACCTAAAATTAGTGGGCCATAACAATGAAAAGGAAGGACTTGATCTTTGATAATACTGAAAATTTTCTTTTTCCACACTCCACTCTCTTTGCTGCATTCTTGTCCTCTCCCCCCCCCCCCCCCCTTCCTTTTTTTCTCTTTTAATAAGCATTCTTGCCAGGATCTAACTCATCGCACAAGCAATTTTTCAAGTAACAATTTAAACTACTCAAAAAATTAGACAGGAAACAACAATTTAGACTTTACCAAACTCATAAATTGCGATGCAATGCAATGAAAAAAAAAAAAAAGAAGAAACAAGGAAACAAAATCAATTCCGTTATCAGACTGTAACTGAACATAACAAAAATTATTGTTCATAGAACACTAATTTTAATATAATGGCAAAGTCATCTTATAGCTGGAGGCCACATCTTTATCAAGACGTTCCAGAAACATAACCTCCATTTTTCAGACCCATATTGAACCTCTAATTAAAAAGTAAAACACTACTTACTATTTATCTGTCTCATTTGAATTTAAAGGACTTGGGAAATGAGCATTCTCAAGGATGCCCGCAGTGCATTTATTTGGGGCCAATGTCCTTCAGAGCACAGATCTGCTCCTCTCCCATTGCAGACATGACACTCACAACCAGATCCTTCCCCTCAGCAAATCCATCCTTGATCTGCATAGACCAAAGAAAACATCAGTTTAAAATCACATAATATTAGTTTTTTCAGACCAAACGAAGAGACAACATGATAAAACTAGGATACCAGCCTTGACAATCCAAATGAACTTAACAGCAAAATGATAGAAATTAGATACTACCATTTATCATGTATACTAACCTGCGTAAGCAGACTATCATCGGTTGGAAGCCTGAGATCATCCTTAGTGTTACCATTCTCAGTCAACAGACTCACCTAAAACATTAACACGTGTTATAATCAGAACATAATCAAAAGCCACAACAATTCAAAAACCAACCAAACAAAGCAGAAAGCACAAAAGCATGATCGTACAAATCCATCCTCGGAGATATCAATCAACTGGTAATCAGTACGGTTGACATGAGGAACCTGTAACAGGAATAAACAACTTTATTTGCCTCCGAAAACTACAACACAACAGAGTAATCACAGCTATCAAACTATACAGAAAGGTAGATATACATCACAGTTGTGAGAGGAGGGAACGATATCTTCGAGCTTTTTGGCAGTGAAGATATCAATTCCAACAAAGTGACATTTAGCGTGACCATGTTTGCCAGTCTTTGAAGTTGAAACTTCCACAACCTGCAAAAGCATGTGGTAATGAATATATCTTCAACATAAGCGACGGATCAAAAATCCTTCAGCTAAAAAGTATTTTGAGATCAAAGATTAAATCCTTCAGCTTAATAATTTCTTAATAGATAATTATCTTCACTCACAAAACGAATTCGATGATCTAAGAATTATATCTAAAAATTTTGATAAATAAACAAAATTCTGGTGACCTAAAAGAAAAGAATTTTACAGATCAGAAGCAGAAACAGAGGCATAAAATAGGTAACTGAAAGATTAAGAAACCGTAGATCAGAAAAGGAAAACCCTAACACCGAACCTTGCAAGGACGGCCTTTGATTACAATGTAACCGTTCTTACGGATGGTGCCGGCCTGCTGAGGATAAGTCTTCGAAGCTCCGGCGTCAGCCTTCGACTCGAAGTGGTGTTCCTCGTCCGACATGGCGGCGCTAAGCAGCTCAAAGGCTTAGGGAAAGCGAGAGACAAGGAGCAAAGCAAAGCCTCGATGGTGAATTCAGAAGAGAAATACCAGGGAGAAAACAGAGTGAGGGAGGAGAGAGAGGAAAAGGGGCACGATTTTGGGTGGTTTATAAATCGTTGGAAATTTAAGGAAAGTAGGATATGAGAAATTCGGGTCAAGTATGTGGATAGAGTTTGGGCCGTTGGATCGTAGGTAGAGTAGGGTCAGGATGAGATTGGAAAATATCTTTGACGATAGCGTGCAACGGACGCTGAGTTTGAGATGTTTGCACGTGGGCTAATTTGGGCCCACTATCAATTCCAATTGGATATTTTCATGAAAATTAGTTTTTTTTTTCCTAAAAATAGTTTCTCTATGCATAGAAAAATGAATAATAATAAAAAAGCAAAGAAATTTTGTACTCTACTTGTCTGCTTGAGATGTTTGACCAACAAAACAACGACATCGATACAATCCAAGCACGTTAACAAAAAGCATCCTTCTGAAGCTTACAAGCCGTTCTCTTGTTTGTTTGTTTGGCTTTTCTTTTTTTTTTTTAATAACCAGCCCTGAAAGATTCAAACCCAATTATTTGTGCAGAAAAATAATTTTTCTCACTAAACGAACCACCTTGATCCGGCTTAAAATCAGCCGTCAGAGAAAAGATCATTGTTGCCATAAATATTTAAATCGCACACAAGCTAACACAAGTTGGTAGACAGATTAGCAATATGAGGTCCCATGAAGCCAATTATCAAATCAACTTACAGGTTGAAAGAAGGGCAAACGAGAGAATCGCCTCAATGAAAATTTCATATATACAAACAAGTGTAAAGTTGCATTGCTATCTAAACGTCCAAACATCTAAAATCTAGAACGAAAAATTAGATACCAGCCAAATGGAAACGTTTTCCTTCTGAGCTGAGGAATCCGTGTTTATTCATCTGGAATGTAAAAATTGAACCTGACATCAACGGAACCAGACTGTTCTCTGGAATCGTTGTACTTGATATTTGTTATTGTTCCAGCTTCATCCGCATCTTGATATTCTGCCTTCACCCACCAAACAGGCACGGTGACAGAATAAATTGTCCCCAGATCAGCATCAGTAGAGACATTAAGCTGAACCTTGTCGTTTGAATCTATCTCCACAAAATCTGACAGAGCACGCATGATGTTTTTAACAATTTTCTGTTTTGCCCCATCACTAATTGCACAACAGTCAGAGAACCGAATCATCTTCAATTGCTGCTTCGCTATATTTGCATTAGAGCTCCTTCTAGATGCTGGAGATGGGAAAACTATTTTCCAAGCCAAGTCGCTCAAAGAAGCTCATGTTTATAGCATTTAAGAGGAAGCTCTCAACCTCTTGAGTGACAGCATTTGGAGATAACTTATAATCTCCCATGATCCCAGCTAATCTTTTAGTTTTGCTGCGAATGTTTTGGCTATTACTGTCATTCCATTCCATTTTGGTGTAATTTCAGAAAAACTTGATCCTCCATTCATGAAACCCGTGAAATCTACCTGTAAAACAGCACAAAAATTAAAAAGATGACCGTGCAATTTTCATATCTTCTTAACTTTTCATCAGTAACAAACTATGCTTGCGAAATCCTTCTACTTCTAACAAATAAAGGTCTTTATTTCTAACATAAAAATGGTCATTTCCAAAACGAAGATGAAATGACACTACATGACATTAATGTATGAATAAAATAAAAAGGATGGTGCATTTGGAATCATTATAGCTTTTCTAAGCATTTAAAGCTAAAGTACGTTAGCACATCAAAGAATGTTATACACATTTGGCATATCAATTAACCGCTAGCACTGATTGGCATTTTATACAAAGCAATGAACTATTTGTCAGACAAGTAAAAATTTAAGCCCGTGCACAATAGCAATGCAAAAAGTTCTCTTAAAAACAAAGGCCACAAAACTACATCTATCAACAGCTATAAAAAAGTACCATATCATCTAGAGTCAAGGAAGCTAGAGAACCATGCTATTTGTATGAAATGATAACTTTAAATAAAATTAATCAACAAGAAACTCATCGACGTACCAATATCCACCATAAAGTCAAAACAAAATATAAATAGGTTTTGATACACTGGTACCGTACACAAGTAATTTTACTACATCCTCCACATTAATACAAATATTATTTGGGCATTAGAGGCAGCCGCTTATTATAGTCCATGCAACTATCACAAGAGTATAACTAGATCAACCACCGTCCCATTATCTCCATAAGCAGCAGTCAACCACCATCACCCTACATATAACCTATAATCAAAGGCATTGCATCTTTCTTTAGTTCCTAATCACCATTGCTGATTTTCATTACCTAATGAGGTGATTGCCACATGTACGAGGTTAAGGTCTAATGACAAATAAGGACAGGATTGACTTGCATGGAAATCCAAACTCATTGAGCTCAGATCTTCCATTTTCAACATCACACTGGTATCAATGATGCGAAAAAACATAGTACATGAAAAATGACCTTAACCATAAAGGGCTGAATCATTATTCTATGGTAATAGGTCCTAAAATCCACAGCAACTATTCTCAGCATAACCCATCTTGCAATTTGATGTCCTATACATGCTTATAGAATTTGGCTCTATGTGCAATAAACTACAAGCATAATTACGTAAAATTAAAACAGGATTCCGCATCCTTAATTGAGGAGTAATCAAGACTAAAAACAAAGACCAATCCAAAGTCTTGAACATTGATTGAAATAAGGCAAGACCAACAAGAACTTCTATGTATTTGACTATGATGCAGTACAAATATTCATCAAAAAGTAGAAACTTGCAGAGTCAGAACCGAAGCTTACAAACCCAAGATGGCCCAATATACTAAAATAATTAGATCAAGACAGATGGTGAAACCCAGAAAGAATTTTGCTGAAATTGAAAAAGTTTGAGAACTGTTAAGGGTTTGCAGAGCTACCATGTTTACCCGATGCCGCGGCAAACTAGGAAAACCAATGAGCTCATGCTCCGTTTGGTTGCAAAACAACAGCTAAAAACTTGGAATCCAAACAAATCAGAATATCATCTCCAACTCTAACCCTCAAAGGCTCAAACAGACACTGAATTACCCAAATTACCCAATGTTATTCCGCAACCCAAACACGGAATTGAGCAAACATATGATAAGATTTCGAAATGTGTAGAGAAAAGTTAACAACTGAGTCGTTTATAGAGATAAGAAGCGAGGGGTTGAAGATAAGGACCTTTCTTGATGGTAAGAAGCAAGAGTGGCAGCGACCATTAAATTCCCGGATATCGACATTATGGAGCCAGCTGAAATTGCCCTTTATCTAACAGGGAAAACTGTAGGCTCTTTTGCTCCCTGGAGGTTCAGACTCCCTTGTACCTGAGGCGGCTTGGGTTGGGGAACAACAGAGTACCGAATCCACGAGCAATTCCCATGGTGAAATGTTGCGCTAGGGACGGTGCCGTTTTACACTTTTGTTTATTGTTTTCCCGTTTTATTTGGTCTTTTGTTGTCTTTGATTTCCTTCACCTTTTTACTCACTCTACGTCCAGGGGACTAGGGTGGGCTAAGGCTAGTGGCGCCAATAGTTCAGTAGCCTTTTTAAGTACAATTGAGCCTAATGATGAGCTTTTGGGTTTCAGGCCCACAAAATCCTTGTAACCATATCTTTTTCTAAAAAAATTAAATAAATGGTACATGATTTGACCTAAAGCTAAAAGTTTACATGAAACTGAACAAAATTTGAGGGAAACGAGTTAGAGATAAATACAAAAAGGAGAAGTTATTTAGATCGCAGAATTAAGAAAAACAAACAAACAAGGAGAACCTGAAACAGAGATCAAGTCTAGTTGCCAGAAACATAGAAAAACGGAGTAAGGAACAAACAGCTAAATAAAGTAATTCTAAAAGCGTTGCACTATGTTGAATCTAGAGGAGTCCCTCTCACTCAAACTGAGAACTAGTGCATGGCGAGTTCGGCTTGGTTGTGCTGATGCATGGGTCCAAGTTCAACGTCCTCTTGAGGAGGAACAGGGTTAGAACATTCGTCATTCCCGGTAATGATCATCATGGAATAAGTGCGAACTGATTGAAGGGGGCCAGTAAACCACAGGAAAATGTGTTTAAAAATATCAAAGAACATGGCATGCCAGGGAGAAGAAGATGATGAGTAAATGGACGGCCCAGAAAAGCGAAGGTGGAAAGAAGAGTGAGGCTAGAAATGATGCGGTCAAGGCAATAGAGAAAGCTCCGGTGCGGAAGCGAATGGGACTTAAGGTTATAGGAAGTTCAACCGAGGTGAAGAGGAAGAGTAGAAGAAACATCATTGCTAGAATTACGAATGCCAGGTCCAAAATAGAAAATTGTTGGACAAAGAATGAGGAAACCAGGAGATTCGGTTCAAAGGGCTAAAGAACAAAAACAAGATCAAATTCTATATAGGTGGGATACAGTACCGCAAATCCATGTTTCCTCAGCCGCGGTAGGATGTTCAGGCTATAAATAAAATCCAAAAGCAAACGTATTTCTTCCTTTCCATCACGGAGGCTATAAATAAAAGTACTCCTAGAATCTGTATTAAAATAGTTCATTCATGAATTTGGACGTACTGATTGTGGGATTCCCTCTAATCGCATCCAATGTTCCACTACTATTTTCCACCAAGTGCGGCAAAGGATCCTTTCCCGTCGTCTGAGTGTTGGTATAAAAAATAATTTCACTAATTACTAGGAAATGGGGGAAATCAACCTGAATGCGGGTAAGATACAAACAACTGTAAAAAAAAAAAATCGACGTCACATAATCAATTACTATGTCAATATAAAAAAATTTAAAAGAAATATTTTTAAAAAATTATAAAAATATACATATCATATATATTTTAGAAATTATAAAAATTAAAAAATTTTGAAACATTAACGAATTCCAAAAATCTGAAAATTTTATAAAAAATTTTGAAATTTTCAAAAACTGAAGATTTTAATTTTAACAAAAATTTCATTAAAAAACTTTAAAATGAAAATAAAAGATATGAAAATTTTTGAAAAGTTTTGAAAATTAAAAACAATCTTAAATTTCCTAAAAACTTTTTCAAATTTTTGAAAAGTTAACAAATATTTCAAAAATTTGAAAATTTCTAAAAATTCTAAAAATAAACATATAAGAAAAAATCCAAAAATAAAAAATCACGAAATATATTAAAAATTGTAAGACTAAAAAAAACAGAAAAATTTCTTAATTTTCAAAAAATTTTTACAATTTTTAAAAGTTTTTAGAGTCTTTCAAAAAAATTTAGATTTTTTATTTTTTATTTTTTATTAAATTTTTAATTTTAAGAAAAAATTATTTTTTTAAGATTTTCAATTTTATGAATTTTTTACAATTTTTTGAATTTTTTTTGTTAAAATTTTGAGATTTATGAATTTTTTTCAGTTTTCATAATTTTTTAATTTTTATAATATTTTAAAATATTATAAAAATTCTGAAAATTTCAAAAAAAATAAAATTTTGCTAAAATTAAAAAAGGATTCACAAAAACTTTAAAAATTAAAAAATCTAAAATTTCTTGAAAAAAATTGAAATTAAAAAAATAAAAATTCTTTTAAAAATTTAAAAACTTTGAACAATTAAAATTTTCCAAAAATCTGAAATATTATAAAAATATTAAAAATATTCTGAAAAATGAAAAATAAAAAAATTTAAAATATAATTAAAATTTAAAATTGTAAGATTCTAAAAAAGAAAATTTTTCATAATTTTTAAGAAATTCTATTAAAACTTTTTAAAAGTTTTCAAATTTCTTCAAAAGTTTTAATTTTTTTATTTTCAATTTTTTAAGTTTTTGTAAGTTTTTTAAAATTTAAAATTTTTTATTTTTATTAATATTTTATTTGAATTTTTTATTTTTTATTAAAATTTTAGTTTCTTTTAAATTTTTTAAGTTTTCATAATTTCTTTTAATATTTCAAAATATTTTTAAGAATTTTTAAAAATTTTAAATATATTTTTGAGTTATTTTTTTAATTTTTTTGAATTTTTAAAAAAACTTCTTTTAACGATGATATGACAGTTGATAATATAATGTTAACTGAGCTTCTTTTAAAACGTATCGATATTTTATTAAATGTTGATATCATGCAAGTAAGTTGATTGACGACTTTAGTTTCATGTACTGAAATAGATGACAAAATAAAAGTTAAAATACCAAACTAAAAATTGTAAATATATCATTTTTATATTTAACCCATTTTTAAAAGGTTAAATTTTTCTATGTATTAAGATATTTAGTTTATGCAAGTTGAAATCTAAAAAGATTTAGATTCCAATTTTAATATTTATAATTAATTTTTATTTTCATATTATGATTTTTTTACAAAAATTAATTAATAATAAATTTTTTATAAATTTTATGTCCACTATTATTTAATTAAAACATAAAAAAGAAAGGTCAAATAAATAAAATACTCATCTATTTTATAATGAAGATATTAATATTAGGGTTTCAAACAAGATATTAAAAAATCTTTAAATTTGGCTATAAATATATTATGTGTTAATAAATGCAAAACGTTATGCATATATAAAAAAATTAATCATATCTAAAAATATATTTTATTATATAATAAATATTAAAAAAATTTACTTATTAACATATATATATTTACTTTTTAAATTAACTTTAATTTGTAATGTAAAAGATAAAATAATAATAATCAAACCAATTTTTACAAAATTTATAAATTTAAAGAATATTCTATTATAGATGTAATAATTGCTTGAGATAATATTTCATGGTAATATTTTATTACAATATTTTTTTAAAAAATAAATTTGAATTTAAAACACAATTTTTGCAATACAGTGCAAAAGGTATTTATGTGTTTATATAATAATTTGAATAAATATATATGGTTCAATAAAAAAATTTTTAACTAAAATACGACAATTCAAAACATAATATAGTGACATAACACAAAATATAAGAAAAAGATAAATAAATGTGAGGCAATTAATTAAAATTTTAATAAAAATAAATATATATATATTTTATATTTTTTGTATCAATACAAATTATAAAATATAATTTTTGTATAAAATATCATATAAATACATAAATTATTCATATTTTATATGCATGAATTACAAAATTTAACTGTTTCTCTTGGCTTATACAAAATATCCATCTACTACAACCCAAACAATAGAATAAAATGACACTTAACAATCCCTTAAATGGTTTTATAAGACTCCATTTTAAGCTCGATGTTGGTAGTTGATAATTATTATCACTTAAAGTTATTAATACTATACCAAATAATGAGATAATTATTTTCTTAAAAATTAGTATATATTGGCATCAATTATTTTAATATATTATTTCAAATATTTTAATTTAATATAAATATATTTATAAATATACATGAACTTATATATAGTAATACTAATAATAATTTACAAAATAAATATATAATATCTTAAAAAATCAAACAAATTGGTTTAAAAATATAAGATACAATATTATTAATTTATCATAATATTTGTAAACAATTAATTTAATTATATGATATTTAAATGAGTATTTTTTTATATTAAAATTTATTAAGGTAAAAACAAATAAAAAAAATTTAGCTTTAAAATTGTTAAATTTTAGTGATGGAGTGCAAATAATTTCTTGAAAAAAATTAAAATACTTTTGAATTTTTATTTAAAAAATAAAATGTAAAAAAAACAATAAAAATATAGAAATCTAACTTTTAAGGATATTTTATTCATTAGTTTTATTTTTATTAAGTTAAAAATAATTAAACAATAAAAATAAATTAAAAAACATAAAACATATTTTACATTATAAATTAATTTATCAAAATTAACCGAAATTAACAAAAATAACCAATATTATAAGAAAAATCACTTTTAAAGGTATTAATTTGTTTTACAACTATTTGTCTTATGTTCTGCGTAACTTCTGTTATGTAACCTTTTTTGCAGTCTTTTCCTTTCCCAATCTCTGAGGATGTTTGTTTGGATTCAGGTTATATTAGCGAAGACTAGTTAATTATGACGGCCGACAAAAAATGGTATGACTTCAAGGCTGTAAAAGCACAATAAAGTATTTGAAAGGTATGTTAAATATCATCTTTATCCGAAAAATATAGAGAAATAAAATTAATGATAACATATATAAATAAAATTTATATCTTAAAACATGATTTTTTAGACATTCATTAAAATAATATCACTTCATAATTTCTTAAAAATATTTAATTAATATTATAAATATTTATTTCTTGATCCACTTCTCAATTTTTTTCTTATGTAAAATAAATTGTTAAAATTGTCCACAAATTTATACATTTCAAATCATTGGATTATTGGTTTAAGACAAATTTTTACTAATGTAATTGAAATTAATTTTTACTAGTCTATGTGTCCGTTTATATTGCATTTTTCATAATTCTATTAAGAATAAGCTTCTGATAGCACATAGCCACGTAGGCACACTTTTATTAATTTAAAGGAAATTCCTGTACTACAATTACTAACCTTGCTACCGTATGGGAGTTGGCTCCATTCAGCAAACATCGCTAGCCCCATTCGTATTTCCTCCACATGGTTCCCTACCGCCGAATGATTAGTATTCTGAGCCTTTGTGATTTGTTTAATGATCCCAAACTTCAGCTGCTACGATACTGTAAACTTATACAATTTAAAAACAGACCCAATTTTGTTTGAACTGGAAGGATATGAAATCTATAATTTTGCGCGTCCATCTGCTGATCCAATTGCATATCCTGCATGGGCATGTAATCTTATTTAAAGGCATTATTATGAAATTTGAGAGCCATCTCATAAAGTTGGTATTTTGAAGATTATAAGTTCTGACAAAAGGCTACGCTTCAAATCTATCACATTCGTTCTTGTGAAATTCATTGCTTGCTGCTTGGTCATCGGCCATTCATCAGCCATACTCTTTGGACATAACAGAACAACATCATTAAAGTGAAGCTAACAAAATCAAGAAATAATACCTTTGGAACAAGGAGCTGAGCAGACACATCTTATTTGAACACCCACACAAGATTCATTTGATTGAACTGATTTATCTAAGTTACGCGAGTCATAAATATCTACTGATGATTCAACAGCTATTGTTAATTCAAATCCAGAGAGTGACATGGACTCCATTTCTGCACCTAGATTTCCCGAGAACGCAAGGGGTTTTGCTCGGCACATAACCCAGGCTATCATCTTCTTATCAAAACCTGCAGTAATCGCTTGACCTGAAATAATAGAATAAAGAGTTTAACTTCCACTACTAGAAATAAAATTAGAACATGGGAACAGCAGACTTAAGTTTGTATAAAAGGCTTTTTGGATGTTCATAATAATATTTCTTGCAACTTGGAGGGTTCTTTGTGGCCCGTCCAATAGTAAGTACAGAACATTGTGCACTCATGGGGAGCCATACGCTCGCAAGGAGTTTCAGAGAATAGTGCTATTAACATTCTCTACATACATATGTGCATTTTATAGAGGTATATATAATAAAAACTAACAGCCGGACTCTGGAAAGCCTTTTTGTTCAGAGGACCAAATTATTAAGTAAGATATTGACGCAAAAGTTGTGAAGTTCCAAATAGAAACTCAAGTACAATCAAAATGACAGTGGAAATGAGGTAGGTACTTAAGTGTGTCACAAGAATATTCTACACATGTTGCTATATCATCATGATTTCTAATTCTATTGCTGGTTCCTGAATGCAAAGTCATACCTAAAAAAAAAAACATTTTCCAAAAGAAATTACATAAATTGCTTGATTATCACAACTATTACATCTAAAGTGCAAAGCAGTTATAATTAAAAGGGATTTCCATATTTAAAGAAGCTAGGATATGCTTGTCAGTTAAATCACTTTGCTGTAAGTTATCTAATGGGAACCAGTTAGCACCCTCTTATTCATTCAATTTAGTAGTAGAAAACTACAATTAAAGAAGAAACCAACCAATAAAAGCTTCAAAACAAAAATTCATTTCACTCAAGCAATAAAAATGAGAACCTTTTAACAGAACCATCAGAGCCGGCGCTGCACGCTACAGATTCCTCCTGGAAACAACAGTCGAGAAGCGCAGCCTCAGACGGAGCTTCTAATCTGATCCGGGAACAGTCCGCATCGTACAATCGAAAACTCTGCACATGTAAAGAATCAAAATCAGCTGCAATAATTGCAATTCAAAACAAACAAAAAGGACATATGAGAGGATTACTGACGGAGTCCCAAGAAGAAATGAGGAGGTTGTTGGACTGCGGGGCGAATCGAATACTAGAAATCGAGTCCCGGGTCGGGTTAGTGAATTCAAAACAAGAATCGTTCATTTGAAACGTTTTGAAAGAGAGTTCAACTCATGAAAGCCAGTGTTTATAAACTTGAGCAAGCAAAATTTTCTCAATTCTCAAATCTCAACACCTGATTCGGGAAAATAAGGGCAAGAGAAACCCTAATTTTTGAAGAACTGAAATCTTCGTTTAAGAAAAAAGGTTTCTTTGGGGAGATCTTTAGATGGAAATCTGATGCAGAAAAGAAGCCCTAATCAGGCAGTGAGGGAAGAAATTGAAGACTGAACGCAGAACGCCGACTTTCAAAATTCCCGCTAAGGGAAATTTCCGGTAAATTTAAATTATACAGTGGATTTACGAAATTATCCATATATTTCGAGTTCCTCAAAAGTCAAAATTGCCCTCCCATGATCTCATCTCATCTAACGTCTATTTTGTCTTTTTCTCATGTTTATCATTTTCGGATGTTAATTAAAATTTAAGACAAAAATGATAAGAATAATTTTAATTATAAAATTTCGAAAAAAAAAAAAAAAAAACCTCCCGTGCATCCGAAGAAGAAATGGTTGTAACTTGTAAAAGACCATGGAGATGAACCATTCATTAATGACTAATGAGATCTTAGACGATTCCTATATTTATATTATTTTTTATTTTATATAAAGTATAAAAATTATTATATTATAATTTGTATTAACAATATATTAAATATTAAATTTATTTTTTATTTTTTAAATTTAAATATGATTCCTTTTTAATAAGTATTCATTCCGTACCTTCAGCATGGTCAGAATTTTTTCAGCAGATTCACTCCGTACCTACAACCTTCAGCATTGTCAGAATGTGACAAAAAGCATCCTCCTATAGCTTAAAAGCCTTTCTCTTGTTTTTTTCCTTTTTTTTTTTTAATAAGCCATGGAAGATTCAAACCCAATAATTTGTGCAGAAAACATACAAAATGTAAGTCGTACACACTAAATCTAACACAAGTTGGTAGACAGATTAGCAATACGAGGTTCCATGAAGCCAATCATCAAATCAAATTACAGATCGGAAGAAGGGCAAACGAGAGAATCATCTCAATGAAAATTTCGTATATACAAACAAGTGTAAAGTTGCATTGCTACCTAAACATCCAAACATCTAAAATCTAGAAAGAAAATTCAGATACCAGCCAAATGGAAACGTTTTCCTTCTGAACTGAGGAATCCGTGTTTATTCATCTGGAATGTAGAAATCAAACCTGACGTCAACGGAACCAGACTGCTCTCCAGTATCTTTGTACTCGATATTTGTTATTGTTCCAGCTTCATCTGCATCTTGATATTCTGCCTTCACCCGCCGAACAGGCACAGTGACAGAGTAAATAGTCCCCAGATCAGCATCAGTAGAGACATTAAGCTGAACCCTGTCCTTTGACTCTATCTCCACAAAATCTGACAGAGCACGCACGATGTTTTTAACAATTTTCTGTTTTGCCACATCACTAACTGCACAACGGTCAGAGAACAGAATCATCTTCAAGCGCTGCTTTGCTATATTTGCATTAGAGCTCCTTCTAGATGCTGGAGATGGGAAAACTATTTTCCAAGCCAAGTTAAGTCGCTCAAAGAAGTTCATGTTTATAGCATTTAAGAGGAAGCTCTCAACCTCTTGGGTGACAGCAGTTGGAGATAGCTTATAATCTCCCCTGATCCCAGCTAATCTTTTAGTTTGACCGCGAATGTTTTGGCTATCTACTGTCATTCCATTCCATTTTGGTGTAATTTCAGAAAAACTTGATCCTCCATTCATGAAACCCGTGAATTCTACCTGTAAAACGACAAAAAAGTTTAAAATGACCATGCATTTGCATATCTTCTTAATTCTACATAAATAATAAACTATGCTTACCAAATCCTTCTACTTCTAACAATGAAGGTCTTTATTTCTAAATATAAAAATTTCAAAAATGAAGATGAGATGACACTACAAGACATTACCGTATCAATAAAATAAAAAGAATGGAGCATTTGGAATCATTAGTTGCATTTTCAGCTTTTCTAAGCATTTAAAGGGAAAGAACGTTTGCACATCAAAGAATGTTATACATGTTTTGCACATCGATTAACTTATGGCACTGAACGGTGCTTTATACAAAACAATAAACTATTTTGCCAGACAAGAAACAATTTAAGCCAGTGCCCAATAGCAGTGCAAAAATGTTCTCTGAACTACAAAGGCCACAAAAAAGCACCATACCAGTTAGAGAACCATGCTATTCGTGTGAAATGATAACTTTAAATATTATCAATCAACAAGAAACTCGTCAACACTATCACTATCCACCATAGTTAAATCAAAAAATAAATACCACGGTGCTACCATACACTAGTAATTTTACTACATCCTTCACATTAATACAAATACTATTCAGGCATTAGAGGCAGCCACTAATTACAGTCCACGCAACTATCACAAGAGTATAACTAGATTAACAACCGTCCCATTACCTCCACAAGCAGCAGCCAACCACCATCACCCTACATATAACCTATAACCAAAAGCAAAGCATCTTCCTTTAATCCCTAATCACCATTGCTGATTTTCATTACCTAATGAGGTGATTGCCGCAGGTAGGAGGTTATGGTCTAATGACAAATACGGACAGGATTGACTTGCATGGAAAACCAAACTCAACGAGCTCAGATCTTTCATTTTCAACATCATACTGGTATGAATAAGAATTCCCAGTCCTTACCAATGATGTGAAAAAACATAGTAAGTTAAAAAAGACCCAAAATAGAAAGGGGCTGAATTATTATTCTATACTAATAGGTCCTAAAATCCACAGGAACTATTCTCAGCGCAACTTATCTTGCAATTTGAAGTCCTATACATGGGTTAGTATTTGACTCTATTTGCTATAAACTACAAGTATAATTACCTAAAATTCAAGTAAAAACAGGATTCTGCATCCTTAATTGAGGAGTAATCAAGACTAAAAACAAAGACCAATCCATAGTCTTGAGTATTGATTGAAAAAAGGCAAGACCAACAAGAACATCTAGGTATTTGACTATGATGAAGAACAAATATTCATCAAAAAGTAGAAACTTGCAAAGTTAGAACTGAAGCTTACAAACCCAAGATGGCCCAATAGACTAAAATAACTAGATGAAGACAGAAGGCGAAACCCAGAAAAAATTTTGCGGAAATTGAAAAAGTTTGAGAACTGTTAGGGGTCTGCAGAGCTACCATGTTTACCCGATGCCGCTGCAAACCAGGAAAACCAATGAGCTCATGCTCCGTTTGGTTGCAAAAAAACAGCTAAAAACTTGGAATCCAAACGAATCCGAATACCATCTCCAACTCTAACCCTCAAAGGCTCAAACAGACACTGAATTACCCAACTTAGTCAATGCTATTCCGCAACCCAAAGACGGAATTAAGAAAACATATTTTAAATTTCGAATTGTGCAGAGAGAAGTTAACAACTGAGTTGTTTATAGAGATAAGAAGCGAGGGGTTGAAGATAAGGACCTTTGAAGAGGGTGTGGAGCTTCGAAAAGGTGGTTGGTGGTAAGAACCGAGAGTAGCAGCGACCCTTAAATTCCCGGATATCGACATTCTGGAGTCAGCTGGAATCGCCCTTTCTCTAACAGGGAAAAATGTAGGCTTTTTTGCTCACCGGAGGTACAGACTCTCTTGCACTTGATGCGGCTTGGGTTGGGAACAACGCAGTACCGAATTCAAGAGCAATTCCCAGGGAGAAATGTTGCGTTAACAACGGTGCCGTTTAACTTTTGTTTATTGCTTTCCCGTTTTATTTGGTCTTTTGTTGTCTTTGATTTCCTTTACCCTTTTACTCACTCTACGTCTAGCAGACGAGGATGGGCCAAGGCAGTTGAGTCAATAGTTCAGTTGTTGAATTTCGGGCTTTTTTAAGTACAATTGAGCCTAATGGTGAGCGTTTCGGTTTCAGGCCCAAAAATTCCTTGTGACCATTTTTTTTCCTTTTTCTAAAAAAATTAAATAATCGACACATGATTTGAGAAATTAGAGAGATACATACAAAAAAGAAATGATTATATTACAGAATTAAAAAAACAAAAAAACAAAAACAAACGAGGACAACCAGAAGCAGAACCTGAAACAGAGATACATATAAGCTTTTTCATAGGAAATCAAAATCACTAATCATGTCTAGTTGCCAGATACATTGAAAAACAGAGTAAGCAACAAACAGCTAAATAAAGTAATTCTTAAAGCGTTACGCTATATATGTTGAATCTAGAGGAGCCCCTCACACTCAAACTGAGAACTAGTCCATGGCGAGTTCGGCTTGCTCGTGTTGGTGCATGGGTCCAAGTTCAACGTTCTCTTGAGGAGGAACTGGGTTAGAACTTTCTTCGTTCCGGGTAACGATCATGATGGAATAAATGGGAAGTGATTGAAGGAAGCCGGTAAACCATAGGAAAAGGTGTTTAAAAATATCAAAGAACATGACATGCCAAGGAGAATAGAAGACTATCAGCAAATGTATGGCCCAGAAGAGCGAAGGTGGAAAGAAGAGTGAGGCTAGAAATGATGCGGTCAAGGCAATAGAGAAAGCTCCGGTGCGGAAGCGAATGTGATTGACGGTTATGCGGAGTTCAACCGAGGTGAAGAGGAAGAGTAGAAGAAACATCACGGCCAGAATTATGAATGCCAGCTCCAAAATGGAAAATTGTCGGACAAGGAGTGATGAAACCGGGGGGTTCGGGTTCAAAGGCCTTAAGAACAAAAATAAGATCAAATTCAATATAGGGGGGATACTGTACCGCAAATCCATGTTTGCCGTTATTCCGCGGTAGGAAATTCATGCTTCTATATTTATAGGCCATTGGTACCAAGGGCTCAAAGATAATTGCCTACTCTTGACGGTACACGAGTTTGAGGTGGCGTCTACTCAACATAAAAACCCAAAAGAGTTGAAGTATACTTTTTAAAAGTTAAATTTATTGATGTATTAAAATAATCAATTCATGCAGTTAATTTTAAATATATATTTAATATATTTACTTTTATTTTTATATTTATATTTTAATATTTAAATTTTTTGTATTTTTAAATTATGATTTTTTTATAAAAATTAATAGTAATATTTTTATTTTTTTTCTATCCATTGGAATTTTTAAAAAAACATAAAAATGAAAGGTCAAGCAAATAAAATACTCATCTATTTTGTAATGACAATATTAATATTAAGGTTTCAAACAAGATATTTAAAAATCTTTAAATTCAGCCACAAATATAATTATATGTTAATAAATGTAAAATGTGATGTATATATATATATATATATATATAAATTAATCATGTTTAAAATTATATATTTTATTGTATATAATAAACATTAATTTTTATTTTTTTACTTATTAAAAATATATATTTACTCTTTAAATTATTTGTAATTTGTAATGTAAAAGATAAATAACAAAAACAATAATCAAACCATTTTTTACTCAATTTATAAATTTAAAGACTATTCTATTATATATGTAATAATTGCATGAGATAATATTTCATTGTAATGTTTTATTAAATATATTTTTTTTAAAATTAAATTTGAATTTAATACACATTTTGTTGTAATGCAATGTAAAAGGTATTTACGTGTTTATATAACAATATGAATTAATATATCTGATTCAATAAAAAAACTTTAAAATCTAATAATTCAAAATATAATATGATGATGTGATACAAAAATGATAAAAAAACACAAATATAAGATGATTAATTAAAATTTTAATAAAAATTATATATGAATTTAACAAAAATATAAAAAATAACTAAGGTCACATTTTTTGTGTCAACATAAATTATAAAATAAAAATTTTGTATAAAATATCATAAAAATACATAAATTATTAATATTTTTCATATGTAAATTACAAAAGCCGGTTGACTCTCTAGGT